CAACAATTGCAACAGGTGTGTGAATTGTGGATATAATAATAATTTTTCTGTGAAAAAAAATAACGAGTTAAATGTGTTTTTGCGATGACAACGATAATGATGATGATGATGACAGTTTTTCCAAAAAAAACAATGTAAGTTCTGAAAACAAATTTGCAATAAAGAATCACAATTGAAAATGAAATTGAAGGGAATTGACCTTCTTAATTTTATTTTTCAATCAAGTCAATGATCATACATTCAATGATCTGTCAATGATGATGGATGTTAAAGAATTTATATGTGATTATGCTGATTATTGGTTAAGATGTATCGATTTTAGTAGAATAATAATGATTTGACAATGACAACAACAATTTTTAAAAATATTTTCGAAAAGGGTATTGATATTAGATATACTGTTTACAACAACAACAACAAAAAATATTAAAAATTCTTTTAAGGTTGATAAGATGATCATATTTCTTTTTCTTATTAGTCATCATTAACATTGTTGATACATGATAAAATGGATAATTAGTATTAAGTCGATATGGAAAAGGTAAAGAAAAAAAGTATGGTGATAGCCGCATTTCAATATGGCTACCACTATCCTGAAATGATTTTTTTGAATTTTTTGTTTTGATGCCGAAAATTTTTTACTTTTTTGTATTTTATTTTTCAAATAAAAAAGAGAATTCTATTTTGTAAAAGATTTGTAATTGTCAAGATGATGATTGGTTGTTGCCTGTTGATAATGATGGTGGTTTGTCGGTTGATTGGTTGGTTGGCTGGCTAGTTGTTGTTGTTGTTGTTGTAATGTTAAATACCGCTAAATATTAGCAACAACAACAACAACATGGCTAGCTCTTAATTTTTCTTTCATCATCATCATCGACATTCAACAAGCAACAACAACAATAAAATGATGTTTAAACCACTCATTCATTCTGACATTTTAATTCACTTTATAATACATTCATTCATTGATTTTTTTTTAGAGTATATCCACAAAATAATCCGTTTGAATGAATAAATAAAAGTAGTTGTTGAAAAGCACAAACACACACAAAACTGAAAATCAAAATGAAATGAAACGATAAAAAAGAAAGAAAAAACGGACCGACCACAGTCGTTTTCTTGAATATTATATAAACACAAAATATATGCGATATTATATGTTATATAACAACAAATATACACACACTTATAGAAAGAAATCCAATAATAATAATAATAATATTTGGAAAAAGAGGTCGGTCAAAAATATCTGCCAGAAGGTAACTGTTTCATTTATTCATTCATCTTTTTTTTCAACAACAACAAAAAATGTTCTTATAGGAAAAAAAAGCATAAAAACGTCCATATCATATATAATACGTCCACCATCATCAACATCAACATCAACGCACCAGTATCATTATTATTATCATCATATTTGTTAGTGAAAAAGAAATGAAAATATCCACAGGCCAAAAACAAAATAACATTTGAAAAAAAGGTACGTTTTTTTCTTGGTTCATAAGATTCGGATCATCATCATCAATTGGTTCGGAAATGTGGATCGGATAGTAGTCACTACATATTTGTCAGTAGATAAGAGATGAATAGCGGTAAAAAAACTGATTTCAAATTATAAGAGTAATATTTCGAAAAACAGAGTAACGGGAATAGATCGGACGGGCAATCGGATATTGTATTTGTATTGGAATTACCGTTAAGGAAAAAAAGAGACATACTGACACACAGACATGCAAGCCTATCAATAGAGATATCCAAGAAACGAAAATTTTATTTTTCTCAAAAGAGAGAAAAAGACATGTTAATTACGGACATCGGACAACAACAACAACAATAAAAAATGAAGTAAACAGTAAATAGTTTTTTTTAACGGTAAATGATTAACTGAAAAAAGACTAATGTTGAGAATAGAACGTTCAATTTGAAATAAATCGGGATTGGCTTCTCTTTCGTTTTATTGATTTGTTTTATCTTTATCTTTCATCAGTTTATCGGGTTAATTTTCTTTAGGCAACATCTTTTATCCCCATACTTGTTAAGCCAATTTGAGTTTAAGCTTTGGTATGGATTCATGGTGATTTTTTCTTTCGCATCATTATCATCATCATCATCATCATATTTTTCATAAATTCATAGATTGAAATAATTAGTTGTCGTTGAAATTGTTCATTTCCTTTCATATCAATTTAATTTTTCTGAAAAGCCTCATTTACCTGGTGTTGATGGATGGATGTAGATGAGATTGAAAACATGATTTTCAAAATGAAACCCCCCCCCATAATATTAAATGATAAGTGAAAGTAATTATCATTAATTTAAAAAATTGTTTTTTTTTGTTCTTTTTTTCTTTTTCCTGTTTAGAACTGATTTGAAAATTAAAAAAAAACTTATGGTTGATGGTCAATTGGAAAAATTTATTCAATGTTTGTTCAATATTTATCGTTTATGAATGAAAAGGGAAAAGAAAAAAAAATAACACATTAACACATTTCTGGAATTTTTAATGTCTTTTGTACCAAAATCCAATATTGTGTTTACATAGAGAAAATTTATCATTTAAAAGTGAAAAAAATATGTTGGAATAAATAAACAAATATAGTTGGTGAAACAAAAACACAAAAAATGGGAAAAAGAAAAAAAAATGAGATAAATGTAACAACACGTTATGAATTTTACGCGTGTTATGCATGTATTGGGGAAAAAACAATAAAGACCCAAAGTATGTGACTGACAATAGCAATATATCTTGAATAATATAATGGCCATGAACGAAATTCTATTTATTTTGCCTGCTGATAATAAGTATCGTATTTATTTGCATGATGAAAATCAATATTTGAAAAATAAAATTGAAATTTCAATAAAAAATAATTGAATTATATAAAACTCTTTTTTTACAGCCATTTATCATGATTATGATTTATTGATGGTCAAAAAACAAACACACAACAAAGAAGAAAAAGAAAAAAAAAGAAAACATATGTCTTGGTTTGATCCATGATCAAAAAAAATTATTTTAATAAATAAAAATTTTAATTTCAATAGGATTTACAATGGCTATAAAAAAAAAAAAAAAAAAAAAAAACAATCGGTATCATCAAACAGGTCATTCAATGTCGATGTTTACGATATTCGTTGTTGTTGTTGATGTTGTCTTTGTTTTTGTTCTTGAAAACAACATTTTAAAACTAGTAGATTTTTATTTTTCCATTCAATATACACAACGAGTACAAGGTTATGGTCAAATTTTTTCTTTTTTAAATTTTATTTTATTTTGCTTTGTTCAATTGCTATTGAAGCATTGTCATCAATCGAATGTTTATCGAGAAAAAAAAATTTCATTCATTTATTCAATCAAATCGAATGATCAATTTGATCGAATCAATAAATTTTCATCAATCGATTAAAATTTTATCCATTATTCACATGAATAGTAATTTTTTCGTCGAATCTATTATTAGAATGATTTGAATACAAATGTTACACAATAATTTATAATGATTAAAATTATTCAATCATTAATATGGGATTGTAAATGACATTTATAAATTGAAAATAAAAAAACTTTAAAATCATCATCATCGGCGACGATAGGATCTTTATGAGCAATTTATGAAAATTATCAAATATTTTAAATGAATTTTTTTGTTTTTGTTTTGATTCAAATTATCTCTTTTACATCATTTCATCTGGCTCATCATGTGAATCAATTTTAACGACACAAAAAAATCGCTACAACTTTTTTTTCTAATTTCTTCATCACAAAAGAAAGGAAAAGAAATTTTTTTTTATTTTATTTTACAGTTATTAAGAAACTGTTTCTTTCGATACAGCAACAATCACAACCATAAATCATTTATATGATCTCTTTATATGGCAAAATAAGAAAAAAAAATTAATATATTAGGAAATCGACGACAACATTTATTGGAAACAAAATTACGGTTTTTTATTTATTTATTTACATTTCTAATAATTTGCCTGATAACGATCAGGATGATGAGGCAAAGATTTTCTTTTTGTTTTTTATCTATAAATCTCAATTTATTGATCGATAACGACGACGATGATGTTTTAAACATTTTAATTGAAATAAATCCTAAAATATAACTTTCATTCACCATTCTTAACATTTTTAAAATTATGAAGAAAAAAATGTTTTTCTCTTTCTGTCTGATGCCATCAGATGAGAGAAACGAGTGTATATTTATATCGATCGATCCTTATGGATTCATATATGATGCAATAATTTTTTTCAGCAGAAAAATCATTAGTCAATCGAATTCTATTGTTTTTTCCCAAAATTTTTTTTTATTCTGAACAAAAATAAAAATTATAATTTTACATTTCAATATTAGGCGGCGGTCCCACATGAACAAACTAAAAAAACTAGTTTGCCGGATCATGCTTGCTTGATATGTTAAACTCGCCAGTTTGTCAAATCGCAAACTTTTCCCGTTTTCTACTTCCACAGTGCATTTTTCGGTTTAGTCTGTTTGTTAGTTTTTACAAGTGGGACCACGGCCTTAGTATCGTATAATTGAAATGAAAACAATGAAATGCTATATCTTGAATGTTGAACGTAGAAAAAAAATTATATAATTGAAAAAAAGAAAATTATGATAAAATAATTTAGAAAAAAAACATAGCGAACAATAATAATATAATATAATGTAATTTGAACAGATAAAAATTTCAAATGAAAAAAAAAATATTAATAATAATAAATATGAAGAAAAAACATGTGCGATTGGTCGTGTGTTTTGATGTTTAGTAGTTTTTTATTCAGAAAATGTATTCTTTTAATTCTGTACATTGCGGTATTGTATATTAATTCTGATGATAGTATCTTGTTTTGTTGTTTTTAAAATGGAAACATCCGTTGGCAAATGTGTTTGAAAGAAAACGATCCATTATTTTAAAGCTAATTACGGATAAAAAAAACCAGAAACTTCAATTATTGATTAAATTAAACAAAAATCAAAGACTCACCATTCTTTTAAACAAATTTATTAAATCAATCAATTCAATTAAAGTTGTGAAGAGGACAAAAAAAAACTTTGGCAAAATTTACATACATGAATATTGAAAAGAATTTGGATAAAATTTTTGGATCTATAGTGATGTTGACCAAATCATGATTGGCGATAAATTGCTTATAACATAATGGGCTTATCTTTGTAAAGATCGATACAATATTGCGAAAAACGTTTCATAAATTTGGGATATTCACGTTTATATAGAGTTCGTAAAACCGAGGCTGGAACCCATCCTCCCGGGTTAACTATTTATCAATCAATTATTAAGTGCACCAAAATAAATGAAAACTTACTCGTTGAACAATAGATAATCCGACAACGTAAATGATCACGAGTTATTTGAGCAACATCATCGACTGGTGGATCAATAGTTAATTCACAGCACATCGATACAACTAATCGCATTCGTTGGCATCCAGCTCGCTATCAGATTATAATGTAAAAAAATCAATTAGATCGAAAAACAATTTATAATAATAAAAAACTTACATCAATATCCGGACGGTCAACAGAATTATTGCATACAATCCAAACATTGTATGGCAACATTTTTCCAGAAGAATTCGGATGGCTTTTTGTCCGTAATGTATCTGCATCAATTTTACGAATGTGTGACCAGAAAACTGTATCACGTTGTGCAACTGGCCAAACTCGTTTGTGAATTTGATGAAGTACGAGCGTATTTGGATTGATGTTTTCTACCACTTTCATTGAATCCAATGTATTCTCCCAATCAAAACGAACATCAGGAGAGAAAAATTGATGACAAACTTCATGTGCTGTGACACCGGTAACTGTATGCACTGCTTTCAACGGATCACAAACAAGACCATCGATTTCGACTTCACGTTTATAGAGACGCATTTGTCCATCTTGTGCAAACAATTCCCAATTACCACCACCTGATGAAGGCGTATCTTCAACTTCTAACCGAGCATAATACAATTGATCCATGGTGACACGTTCAACTTCAGGCCAAAGAGGATGATCACAACGTTCCAGTGGAATGACATCCAATGGCTCATCCAAATTCATTGTTTGTAGCTTTAATTGTCGCATGTCTTCTTCTTGTTTATCCGAACAATCTAATGCAGCATCAATAGCATCAAAAAATTCCTCTTCTTTGATTATACTATGTGGACCTTCTTCGTAATCTGGTCCACCAATCAATATCACTTTATCTTTGTTTGGCTGTAATGTATTACGTTGTAATTCGAATTGTAATTCGGCTAATGCACGACGAGTTTCTTCTAATTCAGCTCCTAAACGTTTTGATTGCTCGTCAGTCTTACGTCGTCGTTGTTGTTCTTTTTCAAGTCGTTTTTTCCAATGTTCTTCGCGTTGTGTCATTAAATCGATACAATTTGATAATGATGTAATTATGCCTGCAGTAGTGGCTTTGAATGTATATGCTTCCTTTTTGAAATCAACAAAAATATTGTCGTGATTTTTTGATGATGATAAATTTATCGGTGATTGACTATCACTGTTTTCAACTGCAGTTATATTTTTATTATTGAATTGATCGGCTGTACCATTTAAATATAAGCAAATAGTCGTTGTTGTTTTTTTTGAGGGAAAATTTTTTTAAAAGAGAAAAATTAAATAGAATTAAAACATTGAAAAAAAAAATTCGAAAAAAACAAGCGAGTTTTTTTCTACAATGAAACAATCTTGAAACTTTTGAAAAAAAAAGTTGAAAATAGAGCAAAAAAATGGGAAAAATCATTCGAACGTTTATGAGGGAGGGGTTGTGGCGAATAATTTTTTCAACTCACCAATAATGCCACTCGATGACGACGACAATGACGATGATTGTGATACGTTCCGAATCGTTGTTGAATTTATCACCGATTGTTGTTGTTGTTGTTGTTCAATATTACAATCCAGATAATTAAAGCCTGATTTTAATCACAGAAGAAACAAAATGGAAATGAATAACAGATTTTGAAAACGATAAGCAACAAAATCATACGATTATTGATCTATATCATATATAATTGTTTTTTAATGTCTAAAGTTTTAGATCTAAAAAATCAAGCGGACAAACCAATAGCATCCCATTATATACAATTGAAATAAAGAAAAAAGCCTAGCAACAAATGTCTTTCATATACAAAAGCTGCTCGATGGGTGTGTAATTGTATACGATGTGTGTGTGTGTTTGAGTATGCTGATGGCTATCATCATCCATATCATAATAATAAACAATTTCAACTTTTTTTTTTACTTTGGATGTTATTGCTGATAGTGATTGCTAAACTATTATGGCGTTATTTGATTTGATTTTCATTTCCACTGTATATGTTGCATTTTGTATGGGGAGGAATTTAGACTTGTCAGATGAAGAAAAAAAAAGAGAAACAATTTTTTACGAGTCTCATGTTACATAGTTATCACCTGTTACACATAACAAGCCTGACTAAATCAATCTATATATTATGAAAATCAAATCGTTCATAAACGAAAACTTAATAATGAAGATGAAAATTTTTATTCAAATGATGCATATATCAAATAAATTTCTTCATTAAAAAAAATCTAATGCTTAATACATTTCTTTGTATTAACACTCACCATTCATTGATTGATGACGACGATGTCGTTTCAGGTGTTCATTGACAATATTAGTCGATTGAAGTGATGAATCAAAATAATGTTGTAATGTTTTAATCTGTTGATATAATATTGTACGGAATGTTTCCATTTCAGATAGTTGTTCTTTATAAGATCGACAAGATGTAATCGAGCTCAAAGATAATGCTGATTCATGACGGCGAAGGTCAGCAATATCACTGGCATTGATAGGATACCCTACAACACTTGATGCTGCAGAAGGTGACTGTGATATTGATGAAGTTGGTACAGGCGGTTGGGTTGTTGCTACTGATGATGATGATGATGAGGGTGGTGGTGGTAACTGTGAATTACCGGAAGATGTAACGAATGATGCACCATTGATTAATGATGATACACTAACATTATTATCAAGTGATTGATAATAGTTTTTATGTTCTTGTATGGCATTCACCCAACGTCGACACTCTTCAACTGATGGTGCTCGTAAATACCAAACACAGTCGTATACCCCGATATCAAAACGGCATTCGTCGATTTCGTGCAACTGAATTATTTGAAAATAGTAAAAACAAAACATTAGATCATTTTTTTAGTTAGTCATCAAATTCAAAATTGATAAATAGGTAAAACAACAACCCTAATATTTGCTTTGATAATGGTGATTGCCCCACGACATCCAAAGGATTTTTCATCTTCAGATTTATAATAGCTAAGTGCATTATCTTCCAATACAATGAATCTTTGTTGCCAGCCATGAAGATAATTTGTCCATTTCAACAAAACACCCGACATTGGTGATAATGGTATTTGTTGTTTATTTTGATTAAGTGAAGGATTGTGATGAATATTTTCATTGCCATTTTCTGATTCTTCACAAGAATCACTCAATGAAGACATTGATGATGATGATGAACGACGATTTTTCAATGTTGTTGAGGAATTATTATTCATTTCTTTTGAATGATCTTGTTGTAATGGAATTTGTTGTTGATTGTGATCAGCCATAGTTTCCGCAGAATATTCAGAAAATACTTGTGTCTGACTCATTAGTATGTTTATAAATAAGTTTTTGACAAGTATTTCAGTGTATAAATACGATAATTAACATCGGTCAATATATAAACAATATCGAAAAAAATGATTAAAAATTACAATGTAGAAACAAAGAAGTAAAACGAAGAAAATAAAACAATGAGAATTGATAAGGATCGAAAGACCAGGCGAAAAAAGTTGATAATTATTTTGAAAGGATTCGAATTTTATGTTTCTGTAAATGATTAGAAATAATCGTTTTAATTTCAGTGCAAAACAATCATAATGAATGACAATACATACGACTTTTGATAATTCTGACAATAAAATAATATAGGTGACAATCATATAATCCTATCGATGATGAATGAACTTTCATAATCAATTTTAATGACCCAATTAATCCTGTAAAAATTTTAAATTCAAGGACAACGATGAATTCGCAGAAAATTATTATTGAAAGCCAATGTCAACCAATAATGATTGTGTGATATCCTTGTGCGATAATAGATAAAATCCAAAAAATTTGACTTGAATAATATAATTTAAAATGTTGGATATATGACCATTTCTGTTTTTGGTAGCTATTCGTTCTTAGATTTCATTCGGTAACGGTATTGTTTATCAATCCATATGCATATTAAAATGTCGATATCACAAATTTGTACAAATATTTAAAAATTCTCATCAAGTCATCACAAGGAAAATAATAAGGAAGAATATTTCGAAAGATTGTAATTTTTAATACGATGTAAAAACCAAAAAAAAAACCAGCCAAACAACAACATACAAACAAAATAGAAAAAAATCCACCAAATCAACCAAAGTTTACAAACTCGTAAACATTCATTTGGTTACACCTCTATTTGATTCGGCTATTTACACATTACCGTTTCAATGCTGTGAATACAGCCACAGCCGCGTTTAAAACACCAAAATCAAAACTTGAAAGAATTTAAAATTTTTCGATTGTTTGATTTATGACAAAATTTTTGATCAACATCATTTAATTTATGATTTACTAAGAAATAATATTGATAATAAAGAGATCATTTATATTAGCAAATGTTATTTGTACAGAAATAATGAGATTTATTATAATTAATCATTGACAATAATCATTTTATAACAATTTTCATCGGAATTAATTTATCGTAAGGAATTTATTGAATGATCTGATTACAATTGATTGGCACACACAAACATAGAAAAAAGAAAGAGTTTCATCATTACAAGTATGAAGGAGGTAATTAATAATAATAAAAAACAATACTGTTGATTTTACAAATAATGCAAACAAAACAAATCAATACACAAACACCATTGTCATCAATAGATTACTTCATAAACAGAAGCTTTTTTATCGCCCGAACCGGTAACAATGTATTTATTGTCCGATGAAATGTCACAGCTCAATACTGATGATGATTCTTTTGACTAGAATGGTAAATTTAATATTGATTAGTATTGTGTTACAATACGTTTTTTTTGATATTGTGATTTTGTTTACCTGAAATATTGAAGCACCATATGGTGTACGCCATGCATTGAGCAAATTATCTTTTCCTGTCGATATGAACCATTTTCCACAGCTTGCAAATTTTAGTGATAATACACAACTTTCATGTAAATGTAATTGATATTTTTCCGGTTTATTCACATTCAATACTTCAACATTAGAACTTTCCATTCTGTTTGATTGATCGTAATTGAATTCAAATAGATATTATCAATAATGATATAATATAATTATATGATGATAAATATAACTTACCCAACGGCTAACCATTCACCAGTTGGACAATAACCAAGTGAAAATATTTGTGAATTAAAATCATGTTGATTTAATTGCCTATTTTCACGTAGATCCCATGTTCGAACAGTACTATCAAGACCACCACTAATTAATTTTTGTCCATCGGGACTAATATCGATACAAGAAGCACCATCCGTATGTCCTTCGAAATGTCTGACTAAAATTTGATTATGCAAATCCCATACAGCAATATTACCATCCGAACAACAGCTATAACAGAATTTGGAATCTGGTGATATGGCTAATGCATAACAAGCAGGTGCCGATGATGATAATTCTCCCTTGATTTTTGGCGTCGGCTTTATAAATGATAATCAGCATAATGAAATGAAAATAACAATTCATTCAATGATAATAAGTCAATAAATGCTTTATGCGTATCAAATGAAAAAGAAAAACAATTGATCATGATAAAAACATAAAAAATTACCAGGTTTAAATCCCAAATACAAATTGTAGTCGCTTCACCACCGACAATTAATGTACGACCATCGGGTAATAATTTGCATGATCGGATATAATTTTCTCGTTGCTAACGAAATGAAAATAAAATGTCAATTATGATTTGTGTATAACAACCAAACAAATGAATGAATAATTATTACCAAACAATCAAGTTGTGCGACTGGTGTTTTACTATTCTGTTGATTAATATCCCACATTTTAACACAGCCTTTACCACCGGTTAAAATATATTTGGTTGGATTTGATATGGTTACAGCGCATACTACTTCACCGTGTGGTAATGAATTCACTTGTCGGGCGTGTCTCGGTATACCATGACCGATTAATGCATCAGGCGGAAATGGTACAGGATTATATTGGCCATCAGCATCGACGTGATAAGAATATGCTGGTTTACCACCGGCAGCTACTAATGATTGTGGCGGTGGACCCGTTATAGAAGTTGATTGTGGTCCTTTCATCGATGGATGTGTAGAATCGAATCCTGCTCCGGGTAATAAAGCTCGTGGAAAGCCTGCCAATGATCCGGTAGTATTACCCAAATTATTGTGCAATAAACCTTGTGAATAGGCAGCAGCAGCCATACCAATATCATTAGGCATCATTCCAGGTGGTCCGTGTAAATATGGATATGGTGGTCCAATCGATGTTGTTGGTTTGGGTGTTTTTGAATTACTACCATTGGTAACCGATTGATTAATATTGGCTGCATTATTATTGGGTGTTCCAGATTTCTGATTCGATGATGTTGGCGATTTGTTGTCTCCCTATCGATCGATGTCGAGAAAACTATTTTGATTAGAATGATCCGATCGGATGAATATTAAAGCCATTAATTTCAATTTACATGATCATTTTTCGATGTTTTATGGCCACTTGGTGTTGAACGATTTGATGATGAACGAGATGATGGCCTATCACGTTTAATACGAACTTCTGGAAGGCTATTTGTTTCACGTGGTGATAATGTATCACCATTGTGTGGTGAAATTTGATCCTATTTTATTTAAGAAAAAGAACAAAATAAATGAAAGAAAAACAAATCGATATTATTATTATTATTAATATTAACAGCTTAAAAAACAAACAAATAAACATCAACAACAACAAAATAAATCTGATTTTATCGATACTACAATTTTCATTTCTTATTCGATCAAATTGAATTGATTTGATTTTGTTTCTGTGTTGTTGTTTTTTTTCAAACTAACCAACAACAAATAACCCGAAAACAAAAGGTTATTATGGGAAAAATGGAATGAAATAGAATTCAATGGAATTCACAAACAAAAATAATCATCAATCATATTTTGTGAGAAAAACTAACATTATATAATAGACCTAAATATAGAAAAGAAAACATAATAATTTGATGAACACTGATGTTCGGAAATATATGGAATGAATGATTTTTTTTTCATATATTCAAATGATTAATTCTTTAACAAATTTGACAGGCAACTTTTTTCTTCAAATACATACTATCACTCACTCATTCTCACTTACGTTCTTTGCTTTTCTTTTGCCTGAATGAGCATTTATATTTTAAAAATTCGAATAACGATTCTATGTTTGATCGTCGAACAACAACAACAACGACAATAACGAAAGAGAAAAATAAAAATAAAAATAAATCAACATCATCAGCTATCATTGTCATGATCATAGAATCATATTGTAAATGTTTAAACATTACATTCTTTGAACAACTTGAAAATTTATTGATGATTCGTTTGTGAAAAGAACATGAAAAAAAAACGAAAAGAAAATTGACTATTACGCTTGATTTCCTACTCCTCTTAGTACATTGAAAAAATAAATGTTGATCAAGTCGATCCAACCAAAAAATAACAAGAATTGATTGCACCAACAATGTTGACGATGATGATGATGATGATGATAAAAATAGAATAGAATCGAAACAAATCAAGAGTAAACAATCATGCTTTTCAATCATCATCAAACATGATAAAGTTATTGGATTGAAAATCAACAAAATAAATCAATTGATTTTTTTTTAATGAAACAAAAAAAGAACAAATATAACTTAAAAGTTATTCTTTCATTCTAGGAAATTGTAATCATAGAGTAATCATATTGTTGGTTGATATTTGTTTTGGAAATTTGATCATATACTAACCTCACGACGATTATCATCTATATAAACAGATCCATATTGATGAGTGGCAAAATTAGAACGGCGTTTAACAACAACAAAAAAAGAGTGAGAGACAAACAAATTAAATCGATAATTGTAATGATTTTATTTTAAACAAGAAAAATTTTTATTGTTTTTACCACTGATTTTTCGGTCACTTAAATCTCGTATTGTTGATCCACTTGATTCTTGTTTAATAGAGGTAGTTGTATTGATTGGTTGTAAACTTGATGAACTTGTTGTTGAATTTGGTGTACAACTTGGTGGTAATGGTATTGTTGATCCATTACTATTTGTATTTGATGATGATGATGTCATTAATGATCCCGGTAAAAGACCTGGTGTTGATGATGTACCGGTAATAGATAAACCATTAGGATTTAATGATCCTGTTGATAATGCTAATAAACCTGCTGTAGCTGAATTTGATGGTGAAATTCCAGCAGCCGATAATGCAGCAGCATGTTGGGCTAAACTTGTTGGACCTAAAACAGATGCATTAGGTAATAATGATCCTGGTCCATTTGGATGTGATGAAGCGACTGCTGCTGCTGCGGCTGCCGCTGCTGCAGCAGCAGCTGCCGAAACATGTGATGTTCCAGCAGTTGCGGCTGTAACCGATGTTGCTGCCGTTGATGGTAATCCCTGTTGTGAACGAATCTGTTCCAATTGCTAACAAAATTTCATAAATCAATGAGATAAAAAAAATCGATCAGTATCGAAAGAAAATACAGGAAAAAATAAAATTCAACAAAGAGAAAATTCTATGAAAAAAGCCATATAACTACTGTTTGGAGAGAAAAATCCATAATAATGCATGCATATGTCTCTGTTAAGTGTCTGCCTGTATCAGTGTTTGTTGATGTGTAATAATGATGATGATGATAATGTTTTTCAAAGCTTTATCATTTCAAATGATGACCATTACCAAAGATTATATATCGTTAATTTAATAGGTTATATTTTATATTTATATAACAAGCTTACAACATATACTACATAATAATAATGACAGAATTTTAAAAGCACTAAAAATAAATGAAGCAAATTGTTTTTTGGGTTTTTTTTCTTTTTATCTATTTGTTTTCTTTTAGAACGGCGATCTGGTGAATTTTGTTTTTTTTTGCCCGTCATTCGTATATGGTATCCTTTTTTTCCAGATCAATGTTACGAAAAAAAATGAAGAGCAAAAATAGTTCATTCATATATCATCATCATCATCATCAACATAATCGACATTGTTGAAAACTAAATAATATGATTGTACTTGGATAATAGCAATATGTTTGAGTATTTTTTTTCACATCACATAATCAACTAAACAATATCAACCATGACCATTCAATCGCGACACATGGTTCATTTGAGAAATGAAAATCATGAATGAATAAAATGGACTGGCATCTTTTATTTTCTGACAACTGTCATAAAAACGTATGGCGAACAAACGATAGCAAACGCACATCCTCAACAAACAAGGTCGAAAAAAAATTAACGGTCCATTGAAATGAACTGTTTTTTCAATTATTTTTGGCCAGAAAAAAGACCCATATCGTTAAAAATCATTATAATAGATGAAAGAAAGAAAGTCAATGTTAATCTTTATTTATCCTTGAATTATATAAGTTCACAAAAAAACGCATACACATATTTGTTGTTGGAAACATCAAAGAATTTTCTATGTTCGCATAGTGAGATTTTGTTTTTCTTTTGATTCAGAGAGGAAAAAAAACCTTAAAAATTTCATTTAATTAGATGTCAAAATAATGATTTTGAATTTTTTTATTTCTATTTTGAAGACAAACAATATTTTTTCAATAGAATTTATTCAAATCAAAAATCATTTACGATATATGATATGATTCTCATTCTCATCCTCTTATTATTTTTTTTTTTTTTTGATCATGAAAATCTATCCACCATTCCAATTTTATCTTTTGTTTAAGAGTATGTAATCTGATCACAATATTAATCTTTGTGTTGCTTTTTTAATTTTTTTTTTCTGAATTTCAATACACACTAAACAAATTGATGATGCCAATTCTATTCTATTCAATTATTTTTCCTTCATCCAACAACAACAACAACAACAAAAATTTTATAACAAAATAGTCTACTACATTGATTATTATTATTACTGTCTCTGGATATAATTAAAAATCTTTTTTTTTCTGGAAAAAAACTATCTATATTTGACAATTTAAATTCTATAAGAGAGAAAAACTTGTGATAATCATATCAAATGACACACACACACACACATGCAGAAAGAGAGAGAGAGAGTATTCGTGTGTCATTCAACTACATATATAAGGATCAAACAGAATAATAGTAGGATTATTACGGTTGAAAAATAAAATAAGATTGAATGACAAACAAATTTAAAATATAGAATCAAATAAGTGAAGAGAAAATAAAAAAATAAAAACAAATTGTCACAAACTATATACTTACCAAAAGATGTGCAATACCCGATTGTTGCTAAAAGATTTGTTTGTTTGTTTGTTTTTTTCGTTGTAGGATTTTCAATGAAATGGAAGAATTTAGTGTAAAAAAACAAATTGAAATTGATTGATTTTTATTTTTTCCTAATAAAAAAAAATTTCGATATTTTTTCTTATAAAAAAAGACTTACACTAAGTATAGTGCCCAATTCTGACATTGTAACTTGTTTAGCTCGTTCAACTGCTGTTGCTACTTGTGTTTGATGCTGAAACAAAAAATTGCAAAATTATTGAATTTTTTTTTCAATTTTAATTTTAAATACCTCTTGCGATAGATAAGGCATTATCTGAGCAATAATTGTATTTAATCGTTTAGCAATTTCAGTCTAAAAAAATGATGAATTATATGAGAAATGTATTGGGAACGAAAAAAAAATCATCCATAAGTACTCTAATGTTATTTCATCTACCTGTTTATGCATTTCAACATTTAATCCATAAGACATTTCATAATACTAAAGATTTTCATTGAAAAAAAATTAGTTTGTCTTTTCAATAAAACTAAAAATGTCTTGACCTACCATAACATAATGTCGTTGCATTTCAGTTTTTTCCTGTGCCATTTTTTCAATTTCCATTTTGATGCTAAAATAAATGAAAATGTCAATGTGAAAAAAAGTTTTTCATAAAAAAAATTAAAATTAATATTTACCTATGATTTTGTGCCTGAAGATAATTAAATTCTTCTTTAATACGTTCACAAGTTTCTAGTATCGTATATTTGAACGTTGTTTGGCCAGTTTGTGGCACCTGATCAACCATCACCAATGATTTCAATCAATGAATCGATATTGATTGTATACCATAACATAGAAAAAAGATGAAAAAAAACAACAAAATTAATTAACCAGAAAAAAAAATAAATGAATGTTTTGTCTATACATTGAGGTAAAAGAAATGTTTTTTATTTTCACAAAATAAACCGTATTGGCTTCATCAATTGGTTTCAGACATATATCACACTATGGTCAATGAATTTTTTCTTTTCCTGGTAAAAAAAACAAAACACAAAATACCATTTGTGTGTGTGTGTGTAAAATAAACGGCACGAACATTGTTTTTTTTTGAACATTGTCGAACTATCTATCTTATTCTTGTTGAACACTTCACAGGAGGGCTTCATAGGATAAGATCTATTATAATTATAGTCTGGCTTTTTTTTGTTATATTTCAAGGTATTTTTTGAAAAAATTCTTCTCCAGCCATAATCATGATTATAGCAATGTTTTTGCCATACAACGTGGCTTATTGTGAATGTTGGCTATCGAATAAACAACACACAGACACATTTGTTTGAAATATTCTGTTTTCTATTGGTTTTGAGAAACAACAACAACAACAACAGTGAGAAAAAATACGTAAAAAATAATTTAACAACAAATTATTCAAAATTCTATCTAAAGTCGTCAATTTGAAAAGAATATTAACTATCAATGAGCAATGCAAGTTTAATTGCTGCAATATCCGAATTCAATTTCAATGATTTAGGCCAAATTAAATTAAATTTTATTTTTACTTCTGGTAAATTTCAATTGTTCTTTTTTATAACAAACATAATAATATTTTGTTTGAATGGTATAGGCAATTATGATTATTAATATTGTATGAACAATGTTTCTGGGAAAGATAAGCCAAAAGAAAATGATAAAAATAAGCTTCTTGAAAAAAAAGAATACTGGAATGATGGATGTACTTGATCTTTACAAATCATTTGCTCATTGAATTTTCCCAGAAATGGTTGAATTTAAAACAAAAGACCAACCGAAAATGTTCATATTAAACAAGAGTAACATTTTAGGTACAATGTTCGTGCATTTATGTGTAGGCGTTTTTTTCAAAGTAATTTTAATTACCAAAAATAAAAATGATCAAACCGATGGCAAAGATGGTTGCTGAGAATGAAACAAACCGATAAAAAAAACTATAGAAACTATTGTATGAATAATAATGAAAAAATCAACATGATCAAAGTCAGTGGTCAGTTTGGAGAAATTCATCAAACTGACATATGAAAATAAATGGGCATAGAAGATAATTTGTTACGAGAGAATAAAAATTTTAAAGTTGTCGTTTTTAATGTTGGCGACATTTATTTTATTTTCCTTCCAGTTTTTTATATGAATTTATGTCACGATAGTTATGAACAACATACACAAGAATATATCGAGCACATTTTGTTGAAAAAAAATATTCTTGTGAAATTATCATTCTTATTCCGTGTTATTTACTTTGATTTTTCTCGCAAATTTATCTTTCTGAATCTGATGATGATGAATATATTCAATGAATTAAACAAAACAAAAAAGAATGAGAAATGAAAGATTATCATCATCATCATCATTATCCGTTACGTTATTGTCATCAGAATTTTTATTTCAAAAAGATTTTATGATGATGATGATGACAAGATTTATTTTTGACATTTTTATTCGTCTGATCATCAAAATAAACAAAATCTGATGATTATCATAGATAAATGACATTCATAATGATTAAGATGATGATAATGATCTGTGAGTGTTATAAATGTGATTACGAAAATGAACTCGAAAAGAAAGAAAAAAATAATAATAATAATGATGATGACGAAATAAAAAACAATGAAGAATTTTTTCTGCTTAAGAATCAAGAATAAAAAATTATTATTATTATTGTATATCATTAATGCGTTATTCAAATTCAAATTTGATTGTAACAGCTATTAGAATTGATGGTGGTTTTTCTCTCTATGCGTAAACATTGGTTAATTTTTTTATTTTTTGGTAATCAGATCCATTGTGGTGGTGTAAATGTAAGAATGATGAAAATAGATTTTTTTTTGTTCAAGTTTTTATTCTTGTGTAAATTTTTTGTTTTTTTTTATATATAGACATTGGTTCGTTGTTATCCGACGTTCTATATCGGCTAGAAAATTTATTTGATCATCATCATCATCATCATCATAAAGTCAACAAATAACAAATGCAACAACGACAACATTATATTTTTGAATCAGTGATTTTTTTTTCTATTCACTTGAATCAATTCCCAAATGAAAGAAATTCAAAGAATAAATGAATGAATGAATGAATGGAATGAACGAGACTAGATTTTATGAATCTCTTTTTTTTCTTCGTTCTGTTTTTTTTCTCGTTATTTGAATAGAGGAGAATAGTACAAAAATTGCTGTTTGTGACAGCTAGAATAATAATATTCAAGCTTTATTCAATGATTATTATTCAATTTTATTTGTGATGCTTAATATTATTAATGTTATTTTTATTTTTGTTTTTGTTGTTTGTCGACAATGATGACGACAACGAATTTTGTTTTTGTTTTCTGTCTTCATCATATCCTCTTTTACACAAGTTTAATGTTTTTGTTTGATGAATATTATTATTATTATTATGATAATGATGTTAGCATTGCGTGGGTGAAAGTGATAGAATAATGAATGAATGAAAGAAAAATTGATTGTTTTTTTCAAAAAAAAATTTTTGTTCTGTTGATATTTTTTTGATGATAATGATTGTGGTGGAAAAAACTTACCGTATGCCTTGTTGGAAACATTTTTTTCATTTGTTTTTTTTTGCTGTGTGGTTAATTTTATTTATGTAATGATGATGTTGATGATGATTATAATGCTGATGATGATAATGATATTGACACAATATGATTGATTAATCAATATTCGAAATGTTATGGCTTAAGCTTTCGATGATTCAAATGTTGTTGATAAAAATTGATAATTTAATTTAATCATCATCATCATCATTATTGATGATTATTAACGGAAAAAAAGTTTTTTTTTATATTAATGACTAGAATTATTATGATCACCAAAACATTACAATTCAATGTTTAAATAATGATTATAAAAATTCACAGTAAATTATTGATTTTTTTTTGCACAAAAACAGTTCTGTAACATTGATTACATGTATAAAGATGATTTATCAATTTGAACACCGAAATGTGATGATGATTAAACATTGAATTTTGATTTTTTTCAAACAAAAATAAATCTCATTCGTCATATCACGAATGTTACTTTTATGAATCCATCATATAACGATGTTTGAACAAAACAACAACAACAACAAAACGATTCCAATCGAAAGAACCGAATTAAACTAAACAGATCCGAACCAACAAACCAACTGTGTGTTTGTCTGAATTTGAATCACTGTGTGTAGTATTTGATGATGGTTGTTTTTTGTTTTCTTTTTCGCGTGTGTATGTTCGTGTAATATATGAATGCCAAAAAAAAAAAAAATCTGCTACACTCGATCATCATCGTTTTCGTCTGTGTATGTGATCCATGCATGGATTCAATTGCATTCATTTTGGATTGGTAAAAACGCGCATTTTCCACATTCAGGTTCGGTTCATGTGTTTGATTGTGGTAGCGGATCGACCAAACTAAAAAGGTCCATGCATGGTAAAAACTGTGAACCGAATCGATGATAATAAAATAATGATGATGATGATGAACCAGAAACAAATATTGCGCGCCAAATGTCTACAAATGTTAGTGTGTGTCTGTCTGTATTGTTCAAGAATCAATTAAAAGCGCATGCGTTATTCGAATAATAAATTTAGAATTTGAATTATATAGACATTTTTATTATATTCTGTGTTTTGCCATCCATAAGTTTGTCGAATGAATGAATTGTAGTAGCATTCATCAATGATTTTTGATGAATGATTTGTTGTTTTCTTTTTCGTTACTGATTTTTAAAATTCAATCAAGAATTTTTTTTGTGTATTCTTTAAAAACAAAAACATTTTCTTGCTTTTTTTCTTTCCCTCTGCATATTAAAAAAATTAGATTCTAATATGATTTTTTTCAATATGGAATCATTACAAACACCAGAAACATTCATGCATTCATCATTATAAATCATAAACAATAAAAAAATTAAAAATATTTTGTCATCATCATCATTTGTTTGATGTTGTTGTTTTTGTTAGATTTGATTGATTCTGGGCGTTTATTTTTTCACTAACTCATTTTCTCATTTGACCCTTTTTTTCTGTTTATGATCGTTTATTATAACTGTACTCTTATCATTATGATTACTTTCATAATGATCCAATTCTGAGTTATATTCAATTCAATAACAAAAACAGTGTGTGTTTCACTTGATTATATTCCCCTATAGCTATATTCATTGTGTGTGTGTGTGTTTGTGTTTTGTGTTTAGTGGATTCCTGAATGAAAGAATTCTCCAACAGAATATATATGGTTATTGTTTGTGAATTGTGTAAACGAAGTTTACGAGGCCTATTCTGAAGAGAATAAAATTAAGTTTAAATAGTAGCCGACCATACACATCATCATCATCATCATCATCAGTAGGCTTTCTATTCATTCCATTCCATTACATTGATTCATTCTCCATGGTAACGCTTGTTAATGATGATGATGTAAAATGTAAAAAGCATCATCATCAATGTCATTATATATGATTATCGGATCTGAATAGACTATATTTGTATGTGTGTGTGTATTTGGGTTGGTACCAATCGGGTTTTTTTTTTGTTTCCTTCTTGTTTTCAAAACAGTTCATTCAATGTTCTTTTTGGAATGATGATGATGATGATGTTGTTGTTGTTTGATTCATTCTGATTAATTCACTTGATGATGTTTCAGTCTTTTTTTTGTGGTTGTTGTCAATGTGATACGCATGTATTTATATCTGACGATGTTTATATATTATATCATAAATAATAAAAATAATAATAAAGAATAAGAAAGAGCAAATGTTGCTGTTGTTGTTGTTTACTTCTTATGTTTATTGACTTCGATTAAGAAGCTTTCTTTTTTCTTTTCATGTATTTTCTCTTCTTCTTTCTTTTTGATTTCATTCATTTATTATGTAATAATCGAGTATATCATGTATATCGTAGCATCATTGAATGATCGTAACATCGCATCATTTTTTTCATTGATCAGCAAAGTTTTTTTTTGCTATAAGTAAATATATAATGGTGGCAATGTTTTTTCATAGAAACACCGAAAAACACACTGATCAATCATTCTGCTATCTTCTCTTTTTTTTCGATCATCAATGATCCCATATAATCCAAACAGATCGATTTTTATTATATATAGTGGTTGTTTGGTTAATTATGTTCAAAGAATAGAGGAAAAAATACTATTTACAACACAGTAAATGATATTAGACAACATTAAAAAAAAAGATTCATTGATTTTGTTCCCAAAAAAATAAACATCAATCCTTTTCAATCTTGTAAACATTGAAGGAAAATTTTGCATAATAATAATGAAAGTTTTTGACAATTTTTTTTTAAAAGTTTATACAGATGATTATGATCGATAATTGAATCGTTTAGTTTGTTTATATTTTTTTTTTCGTTGATCATGATGGTTATACGAAAAACAAATGAATGAATAAAAATCACCCAGATTTTTATTGTTTGTTGTTGTTGATCAATTTGATAACTTGGTTAATTAATTAATTAACCAAAATTAACAACAAAAACAACGAAAGGAAAAAAAACAAACAAGTTGATTTAGAATTTTATCTATTCTATTTTACACAGAAAAAAGGCACAAAGTGGTAGACAAACAAGCAAATGTTAATTTCATTTGTAACCATTCAGATCTTATTATCATCAAAGAAATAACAACAAAAAAAATCTAAGGAATTCTTTGAATATAATTAATTTCAATCTTTTTTTTCTCTCTCTTTTTTCTTATTGAATCTTGTGACTACTATGTTGTTGTTGCAGTTGGCATGATAATTAAATAATAAATGAATGAATGTAAATGAAAAATCAAAAAAAAAAACATCTTTGTATAGTTGAATTTTTGATCCAAAAAAAAGGTTACTAAAACAAAATTGTTATTATTTTCTCATTTGTAAATCTTATTTGTTTTGTTTTATTCATTAATTAAATTACCACAATTTTATTCTTTTTTTTATAAATTAAGGAATCATGAAATTGATTTAGATTTATAAATAAATTAATGGATATTTATATTCTAAATGCTAATTGTGTTTCGTTTTTTGTTTCATGACTAATCAATTGTGATTTGTAATTTTATTTGATTCAAAATTACATTCAAATGAAGAATTCGGGTAAAAAATGTGTTGTACGAAAATTGTTTTTTAGTACAGGAATTATAACAACAACAGCAACAACAATATCTGAAAAACAAAAACATTGTCAACATAGATAAACTTCAACGATCAAATAAAACATAATAACAATTGTCCATTAATAACGTTTGTTATTATCATTACAAATGAATAAATAAATAAATAAAGAATTGTTTTACATTGAATATTTAGAATAATCAATGATCATCATCATCATCAATAATAATTCGGTCATTATCATTGAATGGAAATCTTTTAACTGAAAAAAATAATGATTTTCCATTTGATCATTTCCATTTGTTTTTCTTTTGATTGCATCATATTCTTCATATCAATGAATATTTATTCTATATTTATGTATTTGATTCAACAACAACAACAACAAACTTGTCTAACAATAAATTTTGTTGTTGTTACAGTGTTTTGAATGTTTTCATTTATATCTTTCATCATCATCATTATTATTCTGCAAACAACAACAACAACAAAAATAGAAAAGAAAAAATCAAATTCAATGAAAGAAATAAAAAGGAAAAAAAATGACAATCATAATAAATAGGAAACAAACAGGGAACAGGGAAAAACGAAACCAAAGAAAAAAAACGAATGACGGAATGAATCAATATAAACAACACATTGTATATTGATAACAATGAATGATTCTACATAAAACATATGAATGAACATTGAATTGGCTTAAGTATTTTTTCTTTTTCTTTTTTTTGCTGGCTGGCTGGTTATTTTATTATTTTGAAAAAATAGTTTGTCTTAATGTTTATTTTTTTCCATTCTATATGGTTAAAATAAACTTTGGTTATTTTATATTGTAAATATCGAGAATCGGGCGTAATCATCATCATCATCATCATCAACCGAGTCGAGTTTATTTTCAGTCGGCTGGATCGTTGATCGTTTTTTTCCCATCATTCTCTCACTTTTCACTTCTATGTTTTTTTTCGGCAGCAAATGACAGAGGAAAAATAGTAGGAAAAAATGAAAACAAAACAATCAACCCGAATGGCAAAAAAATTGAAGGCGACGAATTAGGAACAACAAAAAAAAGAATACAAAGAATATTAAATGTGAATGGATGGATGAATGAATAAGCCGATAGATGAATAAATGGATTATCAATGGTAAATTCAAACTATTCAAATTTAATCGAACCTAAAAACACAAGGAATAAATATTTGCGTGTTTTGAACAAAAAATAATGCAAAACAACCATTCCGAATAAATATGATGTACACATGAAAAAAAATCTGTCCAAAGTTTGTTTGAGGTTTTAGAGAATTCAGTCATTCATTTATTTGTTTGGAAATTTCATTCATTTCGATTAAATTTTCTTTCTTTCTTCCTTCATTCCAATTCTATTCATTCATTCATGCGTTTAGTTTGGTCGATCGGTTAGTTTAGGTTGGTTGGTTGTTTGGTTGTTTGGTCGGTCGATAGAGAATTCACTTATTACTTCTCGCGCCTTTCTCCTTCACTATCTCTATTTTTGATATATAAAATTCTTTGGTTCACTTGCCGCTTCTGCTGTTTATACAATTCATTTCATTCATTCATTTCGTTTTGATTCAGTACTATTATGGCCCCAAGTAGTAGAAGTGGTTGTGTATGGATCCACCAAAAAAAACATTTATGTCAACTATTAAACTATACTAAAGTGAGATAGTGAATAAGAAGAGGGAGAGAAAAAAAGAGAGCGAGAATCCCAAACAAACCCAAACATCTAAGCATCAAATTTTAACTGCTTCAGCTGCTGACGGTTGTTGTTGTTGTTGTTGTTGTTATTATCGGTCGTTTCAAAACGCCTTCTACAATTGCTTGCTTGTATTTTCCAAAAAAAAAGTGTTCAATGTTCGTTTGTAATATTTTTCTTCTTCTTTTTTTTGTTGAAATGAAACGATTCCAGATGGTTAATGGGAAATAGTAGTAGTTTTTTCATTATGAAATATTCAGTAGATAGAATCTCTTTTTTCTTTTCTTTTTTTTCAAACCATTTTCTATAGCTAAAAAATTATTATTATTACTATATAGAAACAATCTGATCACATCACTATCTAATACTTTTTTATATAATGGGTAACGTGATTTTGACAACTAACTGTCATTCTTTCTTTTTTTGCCAGAATAAATTCTTTGCCACATCTAGTTTCTTTCCCCTCACTTTCAAACACACATTCATATACACCCACACCATAATAATAATAATAATGACGAAGAAAAACGAAGTGTTATGTAGACTAAAGCCATTGGCAATGATGATGATGATTATGGTACCCAATATATAGTATATATACAATCTCTTTAAAATGGTTACACATACTTTTTTTTGTCGTTCACTTATTCTTGATTCAATGATGATGATGATGATGATGATGATGACAACAACCGACAACATCGACATCATCATCATCAACAACAACAACAATAATAGAGAAAGAAATTGGATTCTGTCTTGTCCATTCATTCATATGTATTCATTCCCGTAGGAATATGTGTTATTTCATTTTTTTTCTCTCTTTCTCTCTCCCATTTACACACAGTATGGTTTTTGATATAGTCTGAACAAAAAAAAATTTGGAACAACGATCCACAATACAAATATCACATATACACACACGATTCATGTATACAAGATAAAAAGACGGAAGAGAGAGAGAGAAAGAAAAAAAATAGGAAAAAAAAGAAAAAAAGTGGAAACGAATGAAAGAATCCAAAAGAATCATCATCATCATCATCATCAAAAACAACAAGACAAACAAGAATCTATAGTGAATGAAGAAGATGGAGAGAGAGACCAGAAAAGCAGCTTTTTTTTTCTTTTCGCTTTCAATACCCGAAAAAAAGAGAAAAATAACAACAACAACAACAACGACAATGACTATGCGAAGTACCAGATCATTCGTTATTCTGTTCTTGTTATTATTATTATTATTATTATTTGGTTTGGCTGTTATTTTTATTTATTTTGTTTGTTTGTTTGTTTCTTTTGGGATGTTTGTGTGTTGTCATTGTCGTTTATTTATTCTTTAGGGGGCACTCTTTCGATTTTGTTTTTGTTGTTGTTGTTTTTTATTATTATTATTATTTAGTTTTTATTTTATATTCTTCAGAATTGGTTGAAATGGAGTGAGATCTTTCTATATATAAATCTATTCTGGTACGGAACTTGAAAAAAAATCTAGACTATAGTTTTGTTCAGGATTCTCAAAAACAACAACAACACACAAAACACAACATATAGAATTCGAATTGAAAAGCTGTGTTTTTTTTTTGTCTGTGTGTGGCTATTCGACATTTATTTTTCTTTTCTTTTTTTTTTAATTCTGGAACATTTCCTTTTCAGTGATTTTTTTTTTCGTCGCCGTTGTCGTTGTTGAAACTAAACATTATCGGAAATTGTTAGAGCAAGCTTAAACTAATTTTTTCTTCTTTTTTTTTTGATTGCAGCTGGTTTTTATGTTAACATCAGTCGGTTTTTTTTTCTATCTGGAATACATTGATTGTTGTTTGTTTGTTTGTTTTTTCCAATTGGTTTCATTGTTTTCGATTATCGATTATAATGATAATGATTAGAAGCTTGATTTGAAAAAGAAGAAGTAAAAAAATTGATTCATAATCAATGATTTTATTTATCGATTCTTGTTGTTGTTTATTTTGATTTGTTTGTTATTTATTACATTCTTTTTGTTGTTGTTGTTGTTTTTCTATAAGAATCTTATAAACAATTTATCGTTACATGGATGTTAATTTGAATCAACATTAGAACAAATAAGAATCAAGAAATTCTTTTATATTCAACAACAAACATAAAAACAAATAATGTCAGAAGAATGTCTATTTCAATGTTATTAATAGATGATGATAATAATGATTTAGGAGAAAAATATGGAATAAAAAACATCTGACTCCTTAAAAAAACAAGACTGTTACATGTTGATGATGACAATAATCATTATCATCATCATCAATTTATAATCATTATTATTATGTTCATAATATAACTATTTTTAACAAACGTTTTTAATACAAACATTTTCGTAGGTATTAGGTTAATATATTCTAAATATATCACAAACAAATAAGTATTTAACGATAATAATAAATATCAAATGTCTAAGCTTTAATTCTAACCCTTCACAACATAATCATAATCGTATCGTATATTTTCGTTACATGAATGTCATAATCATTGTCAAGGAACATGAGATAATGATTATTGTGTTATTGTAGTTTATTAGATATAAATACCCTAACAAACAAACAAACGAATAAAATATAATATGGTTGTTAGTGTTATTTTAGTTATTTATTTATAAACAAATAAACCTTCGTTAAATTCTTATGAGATGTTTCTTTGGAAAAACAACAACAACATTATAGATTTATGATAACAGCACGGAATTTAGATTGAATGATAAACAAAAAAAAGTATTCATTTGTCTGCCAACATTTGTTATGTATGCTAACATAGGGTCATTTAGATTGAATCAAAGAAAAAACATAATATTATTACATAACATTACTAAAGCATTGAACGAATTCAACAACAAATAGAACAATAAGATGTCTCATAAACAATGATGATGATCAAAATAAATAGTCTGTGGTGAGAATGAAAGAGAACTTTATTTATTTGTTCAAAACAAAATATTAATTTTTTATAAGACAAAAAAGAAAGAAATTCTTTTATCTGGTTATGAGAAAAATATCAAATTTTTTTTCTTAATCATTATTGTAGTTTTCGGTACAAATTAAAATATTAGAAATTTCATCATAATGAATATTGAGATCAAAATTTAATTCGACAATGTTGAATTTTTTTCCATGTTTTCGTTGTTTATCGATTTATCATTGATTGAAATATAGAATACAATTAATAGAATCAAATATCCAATTGATTTAATACGAGCGTTGATCAGATCATCATCAACTCCCCAAACAGTAATAAGAGGTGATGTACCAAACGATTCATCAGTTGCAATCAATTCTGCTAAATATTGAAATTGACCAACAGCTGATTTATCCGGAAGACATGATGTCATAAATTTACAATCAAGTATATCAGTTAATTTCTTGGCTAATTTTTCTATGTTGTTAAAATCAGCAGTTTCAGCGAAAAAATCTTGTATATAATAGATGCCATTTGGGATCAATTTTTTTATCATCTCCATTTTGTCTGAATTAGAAGTAATTTTTTCAAAAAATTTAAATACATTTGTAGCTTTGAATCGATCTTTTTCGCAATTATTGAGAAAATCGTTTATTGCTTTTGGAATATCAAATGTCGTTTTCGCAGTATTTTGGTAAATTCTATTTCGTTTGCCATAATTATCCAAAATTTCATCAGATTTATCCAAGTTTTCATTTTTCAAAATCGTCATCATTTTTGTGGCAGCATCATGTTTAGCTGCTTGTTTCGATTTGCCGGTACCTTGAGCAGTTAAATCCATGTTTTTTAGAAAACATTCGATGGTAAAAACTCGATCATGAGGCAATCCACGAGTTTCCAACTCATTGTATACTGGTGGATCCCATCGCTTTCGATTGCACAATGTTTGTAAATCACTTATATCAGTTGATGATTGAATAGGAACAGGTTTTATTTCTTTATTAGATTCAATCAATGTACCGAAATCATCGAATCGATTTAGATTGGAATGAATATCATCACGATTAGCAGTGATAATGAATTTTGGATTTTCAATAAGATGTAAGACCATTTTTTTTGCAGCCGATTGTTTAGCCTTTTTCTTTGATTGACCCGATCCTTCTTCGATATGGCCTTTTACTTCACAACGATAATGAAATAATTTACCTTTGCAAGGGAGCAAAGTATATTCGGCATCAGTTAAATTATCGATCAGAATCTGATTTAAGATTGCAGCAGGAGTCTCCATTTTGGTTCATCAAATTTACCATAAATCTATTCAATCGATAAAGCAAACGAAAAAAATAAACATTCGAAACAAGAAAAAATCGAATAAATCGAATAAATCAAAACAGAAAAACTTAACACGATACAACAAAAATAATTAGGAAATTGAGCAGAAGAAAAAGAGTCATTCATAAAAAAGGTGATCAAAATTTTTAAATTTTTTTTTTATTTTTTGTTTCCATGTTTAATTAATTATTTGGAAAATTAATAATAAGCATTTCAAATTAATGTGGTTTAAATGAATTAGCAAGGAAACAGCGAAAAAAAAGAATTTTTTCGATTAAATTTACAGCCATCTTGCATCATTGAAATGTGTTTTTTTTCAACCAACCAAGACAAAAAACAGCTTTTCATCATTATCAGTCTTATAACATTTTAGCTTTTTCTTCCTGCTTTCATTTTTTCATGCTAAAAAAATTATTAGATTCTACTATCACATCGTTTTTTTTCGATGAAAATCTGATGTATGTGAAATTCGGCAGCCTTTTTTCCGCCATGAATTAGATGAACCATAAAGGAATCCAGAACCAAAAAGATATGATATATTTTCCCTTTCACTCACCAATTTCTTTGAATTAACGAGAAAAAAAGAAACGAAAAATATTCTTTGCCATTTTTTCCCATATATTCTTGTCTTATTTTTGCTTCACTTGGCTTCTTGTTCAATGTTTTTATTTTTGCATTCACTTTTTTTCTGGTTGAACGAAACAAAAGTAAGCAAAAAATGAAACGAAACAAAAACAACACACAACCCCGAAAAGAATAAGAAAAAAAGACTTTGTCAAAATGAAACAAAATGAGTAAACGAATCTTCGAAACAAAAAAAAATGAATGAAAAATACCGGATTTTGAGGCACGCTGGAAACAAAAATAAAAGATTCTCTTGAATTATTTTGGTGTAGAAAATCAACCAACCTCTATAAAGCAAGTAAGGAAATATTTCGAAAAATGAAAGAGAAAAAAAAGCGAAACCCAAGCCCTTTGAACAAAAAATAAAAAATTCACGAATCCTTATTCTTTTTTTTGGTTTCTTTCTCTTATCATTCTGTTTCTTTGGCCATGTTCATTCACTTTCAATTTCAAGCTTATTGTTTGGTTTTTTTCTTCTTCTACCATTACAGTTTCTTTTTCTCTCTACCGAACTGATTGAAGCAATGAAAAGAATTTTCAACAAAATTTGGTTCATCTGATTATTCTATGAACGTAGACGAAACAAAGAAATAAAAAAAAAGATGGAATAATTCCATTGAACCTAAACCATTGATTCGATTCTGTTGGATCTTATTTTCTTCGGTTATATTCATTTTCGCATTTTTATTTCTTTGATCCTATTATAATTGCGTAATGTTTTTGTATTTCAAACATTTCTCTTTACTCTTCTTTCCAATATTTTGGTTGCCAGGATTCATTTCTTATTATATTTTTCACCATCTAAAACAAAAAACAAAAATGAACAAAAACAGTACAAAAATATAAATTCCAAGAATCAAATGTTCCATTGAGAATTTCATCAATTTATTTTTATTCATTCATTCAATATCTGTCCCATCATTATTGTTGTTGTTGTTAACTTGCTCAAAAAAACACCAAATAAAACCAATAATATAAAATAAGGGAGAAAATGAAACGAATTGGAATGTGATTTGAAAGATCGATTCCAAATTCGAAGATAAAAAATCAGTAAAAAAATTCCAGAACAGAAATGTTCTATGAATTACAGATGAAATGGAAATAATTTGAAAACAATTCGAGAAAACAACCCCAGAAAAAAATCCTTAGAAATTCCATATATCCAATCATGAACAATCTCCTCACCATAACTTTCAAAACAAAACACGATTTTTGAAATTTAATTTTCATCCCCATTCTTTCATCATCAACTCAACCATTAAACATATTGTCGATGATAAAAGAAAAATAACCATCCGAATCAAATTCCCGAAATTTGAAACACATACCAAAACCAAACCAAACCAAAACTAGAACTAAACATTAAACATTGATGATTTGAAACAAAAAAAAACAACAGCTGTGACTATGATAATGTTGACAGAATGAAACGAAACGAAACGAAAAACAAAACAAAATAAAAATAAAATTTAAAATCCATTCATCTACGAATACAAAGTATGTGCATGTTTGTAAATCTTTCGAATATCAAATGAGATTTTACAACAACAACAACTAAAAAAACCCGATTCACATCATACATCAGCATTTTACATCCGAATTCTATATATATCGATTGAATCATCGTAAATTTGAATATTGTGTGTGTGTGTGTGTGTGTGTAAATAAATGTTGTAACGATATTAAAAAGTGTATAATGTCTCGTTCATGGAAAATTGATTCGATCCATAATTTACGATTGAAATAAAGTTCCCGCTTTTTTCCAGAATTCATTTTCTCTTCAAATTTTTTTTTCTTTGATGTAATAATTTTCATATTTTTTTTCGTTTAAAATTTCATAAACATGACACACGCACACATGCATGCATGAATGATTTACAAAACATTTTGAGTGTTTTTTCGTTTCTGTTATGATGATGATGACGGAAAAAAGCAAAACATTATCCTAATTATAATGTTAGAATTAAATGATTATAATTAACACTTGATGATGATGATGATGATCCATTTTTTCGGATCAAATTACAACAATCTATGAACCATTTTTATTCTGCAAAAAAAAGTTTAAAAAATTCAATTTTAATACTTTTTGCACACACTTGCATCGTCGTTTCGCAAAATTGATTTTGAAATTCAAACATTTTTTTAAAAAAAGAATATTTGAATGAAAAAAGAATACCAACAAAAAACAAACAAAAATATTTTGATTTTTTTCTTTCATTCTTTTGAAAATGTCACAAAAATGTTTTGACATTATCCGATTGTGCTCCCGAGAGAATTAGTTTTATATGTTTGAAAATTTTTTAACAAAAAATTGATGAAATTCTTATGACAACATTTTTTTTCGACATTATCTTTCACTTACTCACATACACACACACAAGCATAACGTAAATGTTTATTGAATGTGTTGTCTCCGTATAATATGAATTGGAAATGATCGAACAACAGATTTTCCCCAAAGAGAATTTTTTTTCATTCATTCCTGTGCGATGACAAGCTATTGTATAATGTGAAAAAAATGTTTGTTTTTTTTTTGTTGGAGAGGAAAAAAAGAGAAGGAAATCATTCAATAGTCTTTTACTATTATATTCAATTTTAATTTTATTCTACATTTTTTTGGAAATTATTATTTTTTCTTTTTCAATTCCTGATGTAATGTTTTTCTGCTTAAAAAAAAATAATGTGACAAATCGAATGAATTGAATGTAGATGGATGTAGTACAAAAATATAAATCCAATTTATACACATTCATTTCGATGGAAACATTTCTATTATACCAATCATCATTCTAGCATATTTATATTTGAATGTTTTTGTTGTTGTTCATGAATAAACGATAAATCAATCATCATTTTTTCTAATGAATGAACAATTCTATTGCTTACATGTAACAAAAAAGATCATCAAAATAGAATTGACTTTAATACAATATCATTTTGATCTACAGCATAATTAGATAAATAAATCAATATTTATTAATGAATTGTAATTGCAACAAACATTAAAATCATTGTATTATTATTATTACAATGATTATTTCTAATGACAAAATTTTATTGATGTCATTTGTTTTTGATTAATTAATCATTAATTTGTACTTTATATTCAAATTTAGGAAAGAACGATCCAAAAAACAATCAATTCATTTTCAATCATCATTTTAAAACATTGAATAATAATCCAAAAAGGCATTTGATGATGCTGAACATTTATTGTTGTTTGAGACATATAAATACACATTTACACATGGTGTGTATATCAATAGTTGAATATTTATTTTCTAATCTATTCCTATGAATAGATTTTTGTTTGATTGTTGAAACTTTATACTATAAATATTCGTGCATGGGATGTTTGATTATTATTTCAATGTATTCGATTCCTAATTCCTAGTTCATGAGTTTGTACAATTTGTATGTTTGTTTTTCGGATATAATAAGTAAATCTGAAAGCAAATAAATATATTAAACAGGAACATGAAAGAAAACTTGAAAGACATACACACTTGAAATATAATCATAATAATATCTATAACTACCAACAACGATAATAACATCAACTTGAATTGGAAACTAAGAATTGTGGATAGAAGAGGGGGTAGAAAAAGAAAAGAAAAAAGCACTTTTTCGAGCTTTTCACGTTTCAAGATCATCATCATCATCATTTCAGATAAATTGTTATGTACAAAAGGGATATTTTGTGCAACTTGGTGAAATGTTGTGCTCCCGAGAATTCAGAATCCTATATACATTATTTTTATTTTTTGTTGTTGTTGTTGTTATAAAAGACAAATAATGGTGATGATGAGATGATGCTTAGCGAAGTGAATAAAAGTTGAATCAATGTACCATTGTGTTATTGTTGTTGTTTTGCTTTGTTCATTCGTTTTATTCTGTTTGTTTATTTATTTTTATTACATGTTTTTTTCCTTCCAATTACACAATGTTATGAGAATTGAGACAAATGAGATGTTGGTTGTTGTTGTTGGTTATCGTTATTGTTATTATGGTGATTGTAATTTTTTTGTTTGTTTTGTTTTCGTAAGATCCATATATAGATTTTTAGTTTTTGATATTATGATAAATGATGATGATGATCGAAAAAATAAATAATCGATAAATTATCGATTTTCATCAAAGAATAAATGCTTAAATGTATATAGAGAGGCCTTTGAAAATCTAAAAATATAAAATGATAAAGTAGAATAATTGTTGTTGCTGTTGTTGTTTTCTCGGAACCTTTTACACAAAATAATATCATTAGCTATAGCTATGGTAAACTTGTACGAATATATAAATAAAGATTTGTTAAGCTCAAAAGTAAACATATTAGTGGTTGTTCCAATTTTAAAATGAATTTAAAAATTTAAGAGAAAAAATCAATTTTTTCGATATTTTTATTTTTATTTATTCTATCAAATTGAAATGTAATTGACAAATTGATTCTTTTGGAATTGCAATAACAATTTTTCAAATCCAATGTTTGTGTGTGTGTGTTGTATACAATTGAAATAAAAATTGTGTGGAAACATACACATCAATAGTTTTTTTCAATCGAATCATTCATTATGATTCAATTCATTTAGATAATAAGTGCAGGTGTGTGTGTACAAGATAGATACAAACTTTGATTTTTTCAATTTTTGAAATTCTCATATAAATGTAATATAGAGAAAAATGAATGGATTGGGTTTTTTTCCTGTTTTGTTTGAATTAAAAAAAATGTTTTTAATGAAAAAGATCATGACATCGATTTCTATTTGAAAATGCAAACAATGTGAAAAGAAGATTGTGTGCGTGTGTGTTGGTATGGTATTTTGAGTGATAATTCATTAATGGTAATTAGAATAAGACAAAGAAAAATCTACAAATATTAATGTTTTTCGTGGGAGAAATGATCAGTAAATGAGGTGTTTGTGTTTATGTTAAGTTTGATTTTTGTTTTTTTTTTCAATATTTTAATGATGGTTTTCGATTTTCATAATTTGATTGAATAAAATCATTTGAATAAAACATGGCAAAGAAAAAGAAATATAATTTCGTACAGAATGTTGAGATCTACATATAAAATGATGATGAAAAACAAAACAAAAAAAAGTAAATGAAAAAAAAGTAATCTGTCTTGTTTTTCAAAGAAATCAATAGAAATTATGATAAAATAAAATCACAATTGAAATGAAAATAAAATTGTATTCGTCCGAAATTTCGTCACCGTTTTCATGCAAACAAATTATGTGTGAATCAAATTGAGAAAGAATTCAAGAATTTTTTTGTTTTGTACAATTCAATGCAATATAATGAGAATAGTGCGAGACAATTTAAAGTTGAAAGCGATTTTAATAGATGACTTCATAGACTGTTGCTTTTTTATCACCTGAACCAGTGACAATGTATTTATTATCCGATGAAATGTCACAGCTTAAAACTGATGATGATTCTTTTGACTATATTTAAAGAAGTTAAAACAAAATTGTCAATTAGATTGTTCAGATTGATTATGGGGAAAATTTTTATTAATACCTGAAATATGGAAGCACCATATGGTGTACGCCATGCATTGAGCAAATTATCCTTTCCAGTCGATACGAACCATTTTCCACAACTCGAAAATTTTAATGACAAAACACAACTATCATGTAAATGTAGTTGATATTTATCCGGTTTATTTACGTTCAATACTTCAACATTAGAGCTTTCCATTCTATTTTCAAATGAAAGAGAAATTCAATGAAAAAATAAATTAAAATCCGATTATCATGAAATTAAAGTGTTTTCATTCTATTTTAATGAATGGCAACATACCCGACAGCTAACCATTCACCAGTTGGACAGAATCCTAATGAGAAAATTTGTGAATTGAAATCATATTGATGCAATTGTCGTCCTTCACGAAGATCCCAATGACGAACGGTATTATCGAGGCCACCAGTCCATAATTTGTTGCCATCAACGCTAATGTCAATACAAGAGGCACCATCCGTGTGGCCTTGAAATTGTCGTACTAAACTTCGATTATGTAGATCCCATACGGCAATATTTCCATCCGAACAGCAGCTAAAACAAACTTTTGAATCAGGAGATATGGCCAATGCATAACAAGCTGGCGCTGAAGAGTTAAGTTCTCCTTTGACATGTGGAGATGACTATATTTATGATGAATAGGAAAAATAATCAATTAGATTAAATCTTTAATCGATCAATCGAACCAATCACACATACCAAACCAAGATCCCATATAGTTATCGTACTAGCTTCACCGCCAACAATCAGAGTACGATTATCCGGCAGTAGTTTACATGATCGGATATAATTATCACGAGGCTACATGAAAAAGTAAAAGAAAAACAAAATTAATTGCTTAGTTAGAAAAAAAATGTAATAAGAAGTTATTCAGAATGAACAAAGAGGGAAAATAATAAATGAGAAACATTAACATCGTGGTTATGACAAAAATAACCAAGATAAATGGATCTACACATTCAATTGTTTATGCATTAAAAAAGTAGAACACAGTGAATAGAATATAGAAAAAGAAAAATACATACGAGACAGTCCAACTGCGAAACATGTTTAGCTGTTGGTTGACTAATGTCCCAAACTTTGACACATCCTTTGCCACCCGTGTAAACATATTTAGTTGGATTCGATATTGTCACAGCACACACCACTTCACCATGATTCAATGTGCTAATTTGACGTGCATGTCGTGGTATTCCCTGTGCCAATAATGCGTCGGCTGGAAATGGCACTGGATTTATTTGTCCCTCGCCGCTTACATGAAATGAATAGGCTGGTTTACCACCCGAAATAGCACCCGGTGCTGGAAAGCCAGGAGTTAAACGTAATGAAGGATGAGGATCAGAATATGGCTATAAATATCCAGATTCCATTCATGAAAAGAATAGAAAGAGGCGAACAAAAAACAAAAACAAAAACATCCAGTATTTTAGATGAAGATTGATCGATTTTATAAAAAGCGCTGGAGAATTTCATTTTTTATTCTCGCACTTAATTTAAAATGTATGAAAGATGATATACACATACCAATCCTCGCGGATATCCCGGTGGCATATTATTATGTAATGATTGCGAATACAGTCCAGCTGCAGCGCTGAGATCGGCCGGTATCGGATGCGGTGGAGGAGCACCCGGATGCATCTGATACGGATATGGCGGACCTAACGGTGTTTTCGGTATCGATGATTTACCTAATATACCATTCGGTGTTGTTGCTTTCGGCACTGGTGTAGTAGATTTTTCCGTATCTTTATGTTTTGATGATGGTGTTGATGAATTGGATGATATGCTCGAATGTGGACTATGTGATGGAAATTCTTTTTTCGAGATCTTTTCCATTGAATTACCATTTTCACGTGGTGATGATGTACCATTTGATGTTGAATTATTTGGGCCAACACCATCTTCATTAGCCACATCGACAACTAATTCTTGATCACTTTTTTCTCCATCACTATCTTTTTCCTCTTTACATTTACGTTTTTTTATTGAATCATGATCATTCATTTCCGATGGTGATGGACGAAATTTTTCCCGTTCATTTGGTGATATTGAATTACGCTGAATAAAATTAAAAGAAAATAAGACGAAATTAACTCAATAAATCAGTCGTCAACCAAAAATGTATGTCAATTTTTTTAAAATCAAGATGTTACCATCTTTTTTTGAAAATTTATATATAATCATTATGTTGATAGCTATATGTGTTTATTTCTCCATTTTTATTGCTCGAAAATACTATGATTATAATACATCGAAGAAAAAAAACCACTTGCATTTTCTACGAAGAATTTTATTAAATATTTTGCTATACTTTCATCTTGTGAGCAATTATTCAAATGTTAAATCTGTCATCATTGTAATGATGATGGTGATAATTAACATTTGAACATAATAAAAAAATCCAAGCCAGGAAAAAAAGTGAACAGAACAAAAAAAATTACAAAAAGTTTTCTAGCGTTTTCAAATTTCAAACAAAAAAACCAATTCTAAGCACGTTTTCAACCATACACACATTACATACATAATAGATCCAAGGTTTATACCAAATTCATCAATCTCGTTTGTTGTTGTTTCGAGTCGATCTTTTTTTTCCAAAATATATACCTCTCCTTTTCCGTTTGTTTTTTCATAAGATGATTATGGTAATGTGGTCAACATTTTTAAATTGAACCAATAATAACAACAACAACATTAACAACTGAATGATAATGATGACACAACGTTAAAAATTTCTAGAGATGAATGTTTTAAGCTGACATTTCATTTCATTGCAATGTAATGACCAACAATATCAATGAGAAAATGAAAATTATCAATTCTAAACACGAACTATTAACTATGTGTTCACCAAACATACTGTTTTTTTTTTTTTTTGAAAGAAGGGGATAGGGGAAACAAAAAAGAAAAAAAAAAAAAAAAAAAAAAAAACGTTCACCACTTTCNCATACACATTTCATTTCATTGCAATGTAATGACCAACAATATCAATGAGAAAATGAAAATTATCAATTCTAAACACGAACTATTAACTATGTGTTCACCAAACATACTTTTTTTTTTTTTTTTTTGAAAGAAGGTGATAGGGGAAACAAACAAGAATAAAATAAAAAAAACAACAACAACGTTCATCACTATCATATATTATTCAATGTATAATATCGAATTGGTTTAAAAAAACAATCTTGATCTTTATAGATATAATTCATTCAAAACACATTCTAATCTATATTGTATAATGGTTGCATTGTCTATGTAGAGATCCAGGATCGTCGGTCAATGTATTTTGCTTATTCTTTCTCATTTTTTTTGTATATATTCGTGAAAAGAAAAACCTTAGATCACATACATCCAAACTCTTTAGGGAGTAGTCACTCTCATCCACACACACACACTATATTCATCTTTATTTTATTTTCAAAGAATCTTTTCTTCCTTCAGTTATCATGATCGCAATATTTTTTCTTGATTCTATTTACTTCCAAATTCTTTCTCTGCCTTAATATTGTGAAATACATAAGATTTAGGATGATGATGATAAGAAGAAACAACATATTAACCATAAGAATCTTGAAGACAAGAAAAAAAACAGCAGACAAATCATGGAATCATCTCACCATAACTAAATAGAATCATTAATTGTATATAGCTTGCATGTGTGTGCTTGATAGATTTCAGTAAATTTATGGCAAAAAAAAGAAAAAGGAAACAAGAACGTGACTAAATAACAAAATGTTGAAATCATCATACACTCACACACGCATAAATATACACAGTTAAACGAACCAGAATGAGGACACCAAGACACGTTCTCAAATAATGTCTACGTTTTTTTCCTCTCTATTTCTCTTACATCAACCAGAAACAGATCAGCCAACTTTGACAAAATAAAAAAAAGATTCTGGTCACGTTGATCATCTCATTATCATCATCATCATCATCGTAGTCACCACCAATATCGGGTTTGTTTGTTGGAAATCAACGTGCAGATCATGAATCAAATATAGTTGTTGTAAGACGTGTTTGGTCCACTTGGTAGAACTACTAGCTGGTTGAAGGGAGAAAACAAGAAAACTTCAATCACTCTCTACAGTAAAAACTACATTGAATAATCGAGTCATAAAAATTATAATCTTTGCCAATTTATTTCTTAGGATTTCATCGTTGTCAATAAATAAATCTTAAAACATCGAATGATAATTTAATAGATAGAAAAAAAATTAAATACCTGTCGATCCTCGGAACTGAGCACTGTGTGTAAATAAAAAAAAAACGAATAGAATAAATAAATTGAATAAAATGTAAAATTACTAATCACACACATACCACTATTGGATCGTTTCGATGAAATTGTATCGTTATCCTGTCCAGATCTTGATTCTTTCATTGCTGATGCAGCAGCAGCAGCGGCTGCCGATGAATTAGCAGCAGCCATTGCTGCAGCAACTGATGATGGCATATGATGTCCCGGTGGTCCACCTAATGCTAATAAACCGGCAGCACCGGCTGCACCCGGTGGAATTGGTGGTAAATTACCGGCTAATGCATGTGGCATTAAAGGAATTGGCCCATGTGCAGCCGCAGCTGCAGCAGCATGTGGAGGTAATTGCTGAGCATGCATCTGTTGCTATAATTTAAATTGATTAATTTATAATTAATCAATTAACTGATTATTTTACTTACCGAAATGATGGTATTTAATTCTGTCATTGATAATTGTTTGGCTCTTTCAACGGCTGTAGCAACTTGTTGCTGATGCTAAAATAAATAAGTAAAAATAAAAATAAAACATCAAATAAATAAATGATTTCAACAAATTCAATGATAATTTAATCAATTGATTTGATTTAAAAATCAAATTATGAATTGATAAACTAATCAACATTGAGAAACACATAGACACACAGTAACATAACCATGACAATAATTGGATTGGTCGAAAAACCGAAACAGAAAATTTTCGCCCATTTTGTTTCATTCCAACAACCAGCCAAAATTGATTGGTTCAAATAGACAGGTAATTATATGGTCAACCACCGATTTAATAATGATAATTTTCTGTTTGTATGTGTGTGTGTGACTGATGTCCATTGAATGACCGATCTTTTCAGAAGGCATTCAAGCCTGACTAATCATCATCAATGCAATAGTGTCTGGATTCTTCATCACAACCATCATCAATGATGATTGTAGCCTATGAACATAATAATCAATGACAAAGCAAAAATAAAAGAACGAACACCAATCGAAAAAATACACCAAAAAAGAAAATTGCTATCTTTTTTCGATGATATTCTTTAAGAAAAGAATTCACCCATACCGCAGTACCGGACACCATTATCATTACCATGACCATCATAATCATTATCATCGAGATAAATTAATATGATGATGATTGTGGCTACCTCGCGTATATGAGAAAATAGTTGAAGCAAAGACAATTTTCAATGAAAAAAAAATATCAATTCATTTTTATCCATCCATGATTCTTGCCATATAATAACGAATGAATGGATGAATGATTACTTAGAATCGATGGGCTGAATGTCTATCTTTCTTCAATGTCTATATATATTTGGTCAATCAACAAATATATCATTTTTTTGATCATTATCAATCAATCAGTCAGTCAAGTGAAAATCAAATGAAATATCAATTCATTTTTTTGAACGAAAGAAAGAGAAAGAGAATGGTTGAATAAAAATTTAATGCATCAATGATTTTGATGGTGAAATAAGAGAAAAAATCTCAAACAATAAAAAAAAGGTAAACGTTTTGCATATTTACGGTTCGTTGATCAATGAACGATGTTATTGTTTATCATTAAATAAATACTACTTGTTTGTTTCAAAAAAAATTTAATTTAATGAATGAAATGACAGCAAGAATTGTTCAAAAAACAAATTAACATTGATATTCAGCATGAAAAAAAAATTCTCTCATCATTCATTCATTTCTCAACAATCAATTTGGCTACGAAATTCAAACAAAAAATGAATCAAGTGTTAATTGTTTTGATATTGAAAACAACGAAATTATTATGACGAATATTAATTTGTGAATTTTTTCGGCTGAATAAGAGAAAAACAGGTATTCAAAACATAATCAAGATTAAATGATAAGATGGATATTTTGTTTTATCATTAGAATAAATAGAAAGAAAAATCTGTCTTCAACACACTTATCTTCTATGTTTTCAACTTCAAAGATTTAAAAAAGATCATCATTATCAAGTTGATGATCTTATGCCTTCTAGGCATTGAAGAAGAAAAATGAAAAATTGTAACAAACAACGTCGATTGAAAACAAAATGATTTTTTTTCGCTGATTCCTACTTGAGGGTAGACAAACCAACAACAAACAAATATAAGAAGCCAAAAAGGCGGATAACTAGAAGACCTAGAAGATTTTGTTTTGTTTTTATCGTTTACCTTTTTGCTTTTAATCTAAAGCTATTATTATTACCTTCTTTTCTTCAGAATATTACGTGAATGTGTGTTTATTCGTTGGCGTTTATTATTATTTTTTTTGTTTTCGGTTCTTGTTTTATTTTTGTGTAAATAAATGAATATTATATCTGTATAAACATGATGAATGTTTCTAAACAATATATACTAGTCGACTATAGGATCAAGATTGAAATATTTTTCACATAAGGTGTAAATTGATGGTTGCAAAAACAAAAAATTTGAAGGGCTAGGTCAGGATATAAATGAAAAATGAAGATAGAATTTAAAAAAAACAAAATAGTAGGGTAGGTCATCCAAAAAATGACCTTGGTAAACACTTTTTAAAGTGCGTGTGTGTGTTTATATGCAAAAGTCAAACACTGTTGATTATTTTCATCATCATCATCATCATTATAAATGATAATACTTACATCTTGTTGTAGGTAGGGCAATATTTGAGCGATGATTGCATTTAGCCGTTTGGCAATCTCGGTCTAAAGTAAAAAAAAACAGGAAAAAAATGAATGAAAATCATAAAGCATCGCCTACCAAAAAAAAATAACAAACAAAAAACAAAACTTTTACACCTGTCCAAACTAATCGATAAGCGATAAAAGATAATGATAATCGATTATGGTGATAATCAATTTATTTAGATCACACCTAATTTATATCTGGATAAAAAGCTTTCTATCCAAATATCTAACTATGCTAATTAATTTAAGCTATTTTTTTATTTTCCTTTTCATTCACCTGAACATTTTTTATCATAAAATAATAAAGTTTATTAAATAATTGAACTTACTTGTTTGTGCATTTCAACATTAAGCCCATATGACATTTCATAGTACTATTTGTTCAAAAAGAATTTTAATCAAGAATTTAAAAAAAAACATTCAGAAACATACCATAACATAATGCCTTTGCATTTCAGTTTTTTCATTGGCCAATTTTTCCAATTCCAATTTGAGGCTAAGAATTTAAACAGGATAAAAAAAATTTCATTATTAATCATCAAATTATAAATAAAAATTGCATTATAGTAAAAGAGAGATTTTAATGATGATTTTTTAAAAAAATTAAATGCTAATCAATCCCCACTAAACAATGAGAGGATTTCGTGATTATTCAATTCAATGTCTTTTTATGATTACAACATATTTCAATTTGTATAATAAATATGTAAATTTTGAATTTAAAAAATTAACTATCATAATCATTATTATCATCATAATCATAATCATCATTCAAACAAATGTATCTACAACCATTAAATCACCGTTTCATTAACATTATGGTTATTATCATCATTATAATGGTGATTACAATCATTATCATCATTATTATAATGATAATGAATGAATATGATAAAACGTATCAATTTATCATAAATAATTTCAAAAATCAATTTCATTTTTTCATTTGTTAATTAAATAATAATGAATTAATCAAGAATGATAAATAAATGATTGAATGGATGAAATAAAATAAAAAAATCTCTAAATAATCACATTATGATGGTGTTGATTTTTTTTTAATTTGTTAATCAACGACATTATTACATACCCATGATATTGTGTTTGTAGAAAATTAAATTCCTCTTTTATACGTTCGCATGATTCAGAAATGGTAAATTTAAATTGTTGACCAGGTTGTGGTGGTGGTCCCTATAATGTTATAAGATAAAATAGAAGAAAAAAAATGATTAATAAAATTTTAAAAATTTAATGAAAAAGTAATTTCCCAAATACATTATTACATTGAAATAAAATGAAAAATAATGATCATTATTGTTCAACAATTACATATTATATTAGCAAATCAACAATAACAACAAAAGTATTGACTTCCAATTGCCTTTCATACATGATCATCAAAACAATCCATTATAAGCAGATTCGAATCATCATCATTAGAGAGATAATAATGATGACCGAATCGATTCGACCATCAACATTAACAAATGAATTCACCATTTGTCATTAGCAATCTAATCATCAATTTGATCGATTAATCAATCAATCAATCGATCGATTGAATCAATGAGTTATTATTTAACGTCATCGTGATCATTAGAATCAAGAAAAAAAACAACAAACTTTTTTACCATACAAGTAAATGCAAATTCAAAAACATATGCAATGGGGAAAAAATTCAAATCGAACACAGATAGGGGATAAATTCAATATCGATTGAATAGCAGAAGAAGGAACAAGAAAAAAAACATTGATTTTCGTGACAAAAAGATGTCAGAATTGAACAATTCTTTTTTTAGTTGATTTTGATCGTTCATCGACGATCATCATGTTGAACAATGTCGTGCCGATCAAATATAATGATCAAAGAGAAAAAAATCGAATATTCAATGATAATCAACTTTGGTAAGACCATAATAATAACAAAAGCAACCCAAAATACATGCAAACCAAACCAAAAAAAAAACTTTTCGAAAATGGTTGATATAGAAAAATAAAGAAAAACACCACTTTTCAATTCATATCGAACATCAAATAGCAATTAAGTTCACGCAATTTTCATCATTTTTGTTTTGTTTTGTTTGGTAAGGTTTTATCACCAATCGTTACACCAACAAAAAAAAATCAATGATCGACCCTATGGTGATATAATGATTGGACACGAAATTTTCCTTTTGAAAATGCGTGTGCGTGTGTGTATACATGTGAATACAACAAACGAGACGAACAAAACAAGAAAATTTCGTCATGAAATATAGAATCATTATTATTATCATTATCATCAAATTCAAACGACTACCAACACGCACTAAGAAAAAAAAGATGATTATTATCATTAAATGTACAGAATGTAGAGTGATCATCATCATCATCATTAACAACATTAAAGAATGACGATAAAACTACGTTGTTGTTATTTTTCCCAATGTTATTATCATTAAATAAGTAAAAATCGATCCAAATAATGAAAGAATATTGGCCATTCATAATTTTTTATCGATCACATTACATAATAGTGAATCAAAATGGATTTTTTTTGCATCAACAATGATAATGATTATCATCATCATCATCATCATCATTATAATCGAATTGATGATGATAATGATAATAATGGTAATAATAATAATGATGATGGTAATGGTGAAAATCGATTAATTGAAATTGATTTTTGTTGTTGTTGTTGAAAAACAACATTCTTGAAAAATAAAAACAAAAGTGACTGATATGAAATTTCAATTGTGTTTGTCTATTTTCATTTACATTCATTAAATTTCAATATTTGAATTTAATTTTTTGTTCAAATCGATGAATTTAATCGATCAGAAACAAAAAATTTTTTGCAATGTTTCTATTATATGATCATTATATATATTATATTGACGGAAACGGATCTTATAATCGATGATTGTCGATGTTCATGGTTTTCTGAATAAACTTGTTCATTTTTTTTCTGTTTATCGATCAATTTCTAGCAATTATTCAAAAAAAAAATTTATTTTTTACCTTGAACATAAAGACATTAAAAACAAACGGGAAAAAATTAATAAAATAGAAAATTTTTCACACTAAACATTCAGTTACGAACAAAAACAATCGACAATATTATCTTCATCAATTTTCAAATGCAAATGATGTTCCTTGTTCACAAGGAAATAGAAAAAACCCTCGAAAACAAATTAAAAACGCGCAAATCTTGACAAACTAAAAAAATTCAATAGATCAATCTAATCAATACGACCTATTGCGACCCAAAAACATCACATCAAATCATCATCATCTGTTTCAGACAGACAATCATCTAATCACATCAAATTCACAGACTATAATTATACCATTATATAATAATCCTAGATAGATAGATAGATTCAGATATGATATGATAGGAAGGCGGATGAAATAGAGTAGAAAGAAGAAAATTATATATTGTAAACGATACTAGCTAATATGATCATCATAATCATAATCATAATCATCATGATCATGATAATAATGATATTCTATATCTGCAAAAGAATTAATAAAGAACTAAAAAAGTTAGTCTCAAACAATCAAATTTCAAAAACAAAAAATTTCTATGCATATAATGCTGCAAGTATGTATTTAGTGTACACAATGTGTGTTTATCTTTGTCTGTTTCATTGTTCGAACAAAGAATAACGATAAGAGGAGTGGTGGTGGTGGTGATGGTAGTTCAATTCTAACAGAATTGTTCAATTCGATACGATTCGTCGGTTTCAAATCGAATGAGCAATTGGATTTTGGATCATTAATACCTAACAACAACAACAACAATAGTAGCTATTATTATACCCTTCAAAACAGCGAAACTTGAATGAAAAGCAAAAAAAAAATTGCTCGGTGGAAACGGTCGAACGATGACAATGAAAACAAGTCCATTAACAGTGACCCCCTCTCTTCCCCTGAAAAAAGAGGAAAGAATGAAAATAGATAGACAATGTCAGTTGTCTGTGTATTTGTCGAAATAGATGCTTTACTGTGTTTTTTATTATTGATGATGATGACTGCTTTCATTGCTTTTGATGGTGTGATTATCACCATAATAATAAGCCTAGAAAATAAAATAAGAATAGAATACGAAACTAAACGATTGTGTTGCTATAGTTAAATGAATTGAATTTGATTCGATTCGATTCCTATTTAAAATCATTGACACGCATCAAATCATCAATGATGATCATCGACCACAGCAGATTTTTTTTGTTCTTTATTTTTCTATATGGAATTTAATCAATTTTTTTCTTGGATTTTGGGTCCAACCATAATTATGGATCGAATGTCACCGAATAGACAATTCGATCCTACCATTTTCTTTCATTCATTTTCAATAATGAAAACAAAAAATCTTCGAATATTGACAATAAATAAGAGAGGCAAAGTTATTTAATCACTTAAACCCGAGTACCAAGATCAAGGATAATGAGATTATTATTGTTCCATTTGGAACAAAACGATACACACGCGCAATAAAATAATGATGTGACAAACGAAAAAGAAAATGATGAAAATCAAAAAATCAATCGTACAAAATAGAGTGAGAGTACCCAACAAAACACAAATCGAATCGGCAAAAATCAGTAAAAAGATTCAAAAGAAAACGTGTGTACATTATAATAAATGGGTGTGTGCTATGCGTGAGTTTTACTCATTTTTCTATCCCCTCATTCATATATGAATGATAATCATAATCGCAAATAGAAAAAAATCGATCCGACCAAAGAAAAAATTATCTGATTATTATGGGTTGTTTCGTTTTCTCTCTCCGGATTGAACACATACATTATTTTTCAAAAAAAAAGGTCCACACAAACACACAAGGGACAAAATAATAAATCAATCAACCATTTTTCAGGTCATGTCATGTTCGATTCAATAGAATAATAATCGATTGATAGTGTAGTGTAGTTCTCTATCAAGTGTGATTGAATGACTCTAGCGAGCAAACAAAAAAATCCAAAATACGGAAAAGCAATGTCAAAGTGCAAAATAGGGCCCATTATCATGATGATGATGATGATGATTGGCTCAAGAGTGGTCATCGCATTTGCCAAAATTTATCATTATCATCACATGGAAAAATAAAATAACAATTCGGGCTACATAGTTGGGCCATAAAAAAAATTTGGAGAAAATAAAATAAAATTTGGATACAAAAAAAAACAACAACATTTGAATGCCGCGGATAAATACAAACAACAAAATGTTTTCAAACCACCATTGCTGCTTCAATAAATATCACCAAGCGTGTTTGTATGTTTGGTATTTGTTGTTTGTTGTATGGATCACATTTCTTCTTTTACACTCACTTTGGATCAGTTATAAGGGTGTACCATTGATTCGGATTGTATGTAAAACATTCAATGTTTCCCATGACCAAATAATTCATGGTCGAATAGCCAATAATCAAACAAAACAAACAGACAAAAATAAAATGAAAATGACAATCGACAAACGATCAAGATTGAAAGAGAGAAAGAGCGAGAAACACACAGATACAACAAAAAATCCTAAATAGAATTAGATTCATTGAATAAAAATTTACGGTTTTTCTTTCTCTCTCTCTCTCTCTCCCTAGAACAATATTGTTCCAAAAACACATTATATCTATAGGGGAGAGAGAGAAAAAAAATGGAAACAAAACAAAACAGAAAAATCGAAAACTTGTCATGTCGGTTAGTCATTATTATTGTCATCATTTCTATTCAACAATTCATTTTCAAATAACGACGACGACAACAACAACAACAACAACAAATTCTAATTGTAACATGAAAATTAATTCACAATAGGATCATCATCATCATCAACAACAACAGCAGCCACAACGTATGAAAACATAAATTGAATAGAAAATCTATGGCAAATGTGTATGTAATTCACGACACCTGCTGCCCGCTTGCATGTGTATATCACACAAAATAAGTCTATATCGGTCGGTCGATCGGTATATATTTTGATCCAAAAAGTTCCAACTAAACAACCAACACATAAAAAATGATCCAAAGTAATAATAAGCTCTGTAGAGCTGCTGTGTTGCTGTTGCTTCTGCATTCAACACTAATAAAAGAACCCAATTGGATCGATTGATCCTCTTTAATTTCAAAGTCTTTTTTTTCTAAGTATGTGATCCAGGAATAATATGTACGAAAAAAAACTAACAAAGCTTTCGGTGATCAGAAAGGAAAGGCAAAAAAAATCCAATCCTCATCAAATTTATAAAAAAAGCTAAATGTGGAAAGTTGTCAACTTTTTCATTATCATCATCATTTTCATCTTGAAAAAAACGAGCCCTACTCATTTGTATCATACACACAAACATGCATAGATATCCTTTACTCTAAATCCACATAAGGGCTTTTTGTGACAAGCGCTTTGATGAAATTAAACCAGAACAACAATTTCTTTTCCCCATTATCAGAAAAACTCTATTTTCTCTAATCCAAAGCTGCATTATTTGGTAATATTTTTCTTTTTTGTTACTATCAAACTTATTATACAAACAGGATTTAAGAGATTTTTGTTATTATATTGCTACACCACCCCCCATTTTTTCCATGATTTAAACTTGATATTAAAAAAAGTATAAAAAGTTCCAATTTAAATAGCAATTTGGATACTGAAAGAATAATAATCCGGAAAAAATGAGACCAAATTTAATTCTATATAGCAAAAAAACACCAGTAGTATTTGAAAAAGATTCAACAGTATTACATGTTCAAAATGGATTTATTTTAACTGAAAAATGAATGAATGCATGGATTAAGTGTATGTGTGTGCAAGGATCTATCAAGATTACTTATTCAAAGTAAAAAAAAGCTGTCGCCAGGGATTTTATCCACACTAAAGGCCTTACGGCCTTATTTAACAAAAAAAAACTAGAGAAAAGAAATTGTCTATATTTACATAGCAATTTATTATAAAAATGTTGAAATTGTACTTTTTTTTCCAACCTATTCTCTAATATATATCATCAATCACAAATAATATTGAATTTGTTGACCAAATAAAATCTCTCTCTTTAGGTGTGAATGAATGAGTGTATGTAATGATTGTTCACAGTCATCATTTCAATAATAGGAACCATTATTATCATCGATTGGATCGAGTTTCAGAAGAAAAAAAAAACATTTCACTCGATATGATTAATACGAGAGAATGTAAGTATACGAGTGAGATAAGTGAAAAGAAATTTTTCATAAATAATGATTACAGAAAAAAATTATGATTTTTCATCGATCAAGACATAAATCGCTATTGAAATGTTCGGCTATTTTTTATTTGTTTGTCTGTTTGGCATTTACCTAAAAAGGGTTAAAATTAAGATAAAGCCATAAAGATATATGAGAGCCAGAGAAAAAAACAAGTTTTTCAAACTTTTATGAAAAAAAAGGATTATATTTCATGAAAAAAACCATAGAATTCCAGTTAGTGAAAAAAAAAGTATCAACATAAAAATTGAAATTATTTTGCCTGGTTCTTTAGAACCAAAAAAAAGATAAGAGTTGGAAAAAATTGCACAATACTCTATTGGGTACAATGTAATCCTCATTTATTTTCCATCAGAAATATAATTAAAGAAAAAAAAACAAAAGTCAGAAATAAAATAGACAAAAAAATGACGTCTTTTCGTTAAGAACCTAAATAATAAAATGTGGAACGAACCATGAAAAAAATTACCATTCAATTAAGGATTTTTTTTTGAAAAAAATTTAACACGATAGTATTTTGACGAAATAATTTTCGAAACAATGAAATTCAATTCAGTGAATTTTCGGAGAATTTTGAAAAATGTTTTTCAAAATTTATAAAGACGAAAACCAAAACCAAAAAAAAAATTGTCAACCGAAAAATTTTCTGGTTCAAGTGCTATCATATTCCATGATCATTAGCATTAGAAAATCAAAATTATGAAAATGAAAAATCAATACAATTTTGGCAACAACAACAACAACAAAAATCAATCATTAAAATAATGAATGAAAAATTTCATTATTTTAAAATGTTTGGGCGTTATATAGAAAATTCAATAATAAATGTTTGAGATAATTTTAGTCAAGGGTCTATGCATTTTGATGATCAAACACGTGCGATAACGAGAAGGTGATGCATTATGTGAGCATACATAATGTTATACGATTTGTAAATCCGATTTTATTTTCACATTTAGTGAAAATAAGAGAGATTTCATCTTCTGAAAAATTCAGTAGAAACACGTGCGTGTGTGTGTTGCGTGTGCGATACACACATACTCAATCACTTATGTTTGTTACATGTCATCATCATCATCATCATCATCATTGTCGATTAATCTCAATTTTGCAGATGATAATATTCCTGAACTTTCAGTTTTTTTTGTGTCTAATGTTTGGCCAATCAGATTGATACATATAATCAAAATATAGAGAAAAAATATAGTTATTGTTAGTTTGCGTTTTGGTTTATCATCATTTGACAATGGGTGATAGAGGGGACGGATGTTTGTATTCCACATAAGAACGTGTGCGTATGGTGCGTGTGTTGGTCGGTCTAGTTACTATGTGAGAACCAAGCGTGTCATTAAAAGGCAACATGTAACTAATAAGCGGGGATATGGCGACTTTAAAACTTTATATAAAAGAAAAATAGAATTGGGGATGTTCAGATGGGGGGAGAGTTAGGAAATAAACATCAAACACACACACACACACGCAAACATAATGATGGAGATGGGCCAATAATGGAACGATACAAGATTTACGGATCAATGTAAAAATGAATAAGAAATGAAACACGTGACTTTTATTATTTCTATTCTCATCATTTTCCCCTCATACTGAATCAAATTCAATAGTAAAAAGAAATTCGACAAACATTGAAAATAACCGAATCATGACGATAGAATAGTTGGACCAGAACTTTTTATAGAAATGACACAATCACAGAAAACCAACACAAAGAATGAGATATATATCCAAAATATATGGAAACACGTGTATCAACTTTATTCTGGCTTGTCGTCAATTGATAATGACGATGAAATGATCTGATTGATCTTCATTTTGTTTGTCTATCATATATATTGGTTCATAATCAACTAACTGACACACGCACACAAACAAAACAAAAAATATTTGTCACAAACTATGTTTTTTTTTCAAAAATGAATCATTCTGTTATTGGCATTTATGGGGGAAAAGGAAATAATAATACACACGTCAAACACGTGTACATACATTTGGAGCAAGTATATTAATTGTAATTATTCTATTCTATTCGATTCGATCCAAATTCTATGAGTATTATTATGTGTGTGTGTGGTAGGGGAGTGTGAACAACAATAATGAAAAACAAAAACTTACCGGATGCCTGGCGGGATACATTTTTGTTGAATGATGATTATTATTATTCGTTATTGGCAAAGATTGTGGTGATGGTGGTGGTGGTCGATTTAACAATGATGAAAAAGAATTATTATTCGTTGAAGGATGAGGAAAAGGAGAAGGAGGAAGAGGAGGAAGAAATGGTTGAGGTGGCGGTAAAGGCGGTATTTTTGGTTGTTTTTGTTTGTCCAATTTGATGGTCAATCAATGAAAATGTGAAAAGTGGAAAGGATTTTTTTTCTCTCTCACTTAATTCGGAAAATTCAACGCACAATAATAAATAATGATGACAAGAGAGCGAACCAAAAAAAACAAGAGTGAAATTCCAAAGCGAAAAAAAAATTCCAGGAAGAAAATCTTCAACTGATATCGGATATTAAAGAGGATTTTTAAACGCCCACAAACTTTGATGTACACACATGGAAATTGTGTACATTTTTTTATATGTAGGTGTTGATGATGATAATGTTTAGTTTATTATTATTTTGGCTTCGAATCAAAATCAAATCAGGCGAGAGATAAAGATTGTCGAAAATAATCTTCTAATCGATTATGATGAGATGATGATGTTGTAGATTGAAATAGAAATTACACATAAAATATTCTCAAATGGAATTTCCCTTCTATGAGATATTTTTTTGATTTTGATATTAAATTTTAAGATTGAAAATAAAATACATTCATGATAGACACACAAAATACACTGAAAATCTCAATGATGTGGTTTTTTTTTTGTTTTAGTTTTAGCGAGAAAAAGTGATTAAAAACAAACAGAAATTTATTTTTTCTCCCATTAAATTGATGAGCGATGATAATGAATTAATCAAATGATTGATTGATTAATTTGATTCCAATTCCAGTACGAAATAATCATCCAATGGAAATTTGTTTTACTTTTTTTTTTATCAAATGACAAAAACAGAAAACAGAAGACATTAAAATTAAAAATAAAAATATGATGTGAGAAACAAGTTAGTGAAGAAATTTTGAAAACAAATCAAATCAAAAGAAAGTTTTATCATTAAATGATGTGATAAATTGATTGAATTTTATAAATATTATTCATCGATCAATATTTAGATCATGATTGTATTAACACAAAGAAATCTGCTGTTTGTCGATGATTTTTGAATGTAAAACAAAAAAAAGTTGATGGAATTTTTTCAATCATTTCACAATCAATTACAATATCAATAAATGAAAATCGACGACCAAAACGATGCTAATCATTGGTCAATTATCAATGATTATGAAACAAAACAAATGAAAAAAAAACAAATGATAATGTTGACGACCAATGACCGAATACTATCGAACACAGTAAAAAAAATTAACATGAAAAATTTAAACCAAAATGATCGAGGTCCACAAATATCATCAACCGAATAATACCATCACAGAACACAGCACACACATGCACTCCGAAAATACACCGATAGAAAAAGAGAGGGAGAGAGAGAGAGAGAGAGAGAAAAGACACACGAACGATCATCAACAACACACAAAAACCGAGCGCGAAAGAACCAAGCCGACGAACCAGAAATATATTTTTTTTTTCTTTCTTCCTTTTTCTCTTCTCTTTTTTTTGGCAATCATTCTTTCTCTTTTTTTTTATATGCAATCCGGTAAGATACTAAACATATTTATATACTGCTACTGCTACAAACCAAACAGAAAAAAATGATAATTGTAGTGGTTGATAATAATGTTAATGATGATTGGTTCTTTGGGTTTGAGGTGGTGGTATGATGATGATGATGATATGGCTAAATGATCCTTTTTTTCGATGTTGATATGATATCGTTTGTTGGTTTGTTGGATATACAATGGATGTTTTTTTTTTGTATTTTGATTTTGCGCCGTTTTTTTTTGTTCGTTGAGAATTTTTTCAATTTGATTTGATTTATAATTTTGTTGTTGTTTTTCGGGATTTAATGGACAAATGAAATGGACATTTGTTTCGAGCTGATTTAAGTGAAAAAAATTGAGAGTCATGATACAAAAACCACTATAGTTTTTGTGTGTGTGATTTCAATCGAATAAAAAAATTTCGATTCTTTTGAATACAGAATTTTTTCGTTTTGTTTCTACTGAACAAAGTTAATTTCGATCTTTTTTTTTGTTCCTTGTTGTAAATGTGATTATTTAAATGAATTCTTTCTCTGTGTGTGTGTGTTTATTATCAACTAAAGAAAACTTAATTGATCATATCCTTTTCTTAAAACGAAAAACTAGGAAAAAGAATTCTTTTTTTAGCCTTTTTCTTTTTTACCTCACTCACACCCAAAAGAATTATTCAGAATTCTGTATTGTATAATCAAAAAAACATTCAGAAAAAATTCTAATTTAACATTATTAGTCAGTCATTTTCGAAAATAGTCGTCGAATCATTCAGTAAGTCCATGTGTGTGTGTGCTCAAACTTAAAACTTGATTCGGGTATAGAGAGAGTAGTGGCGCCTTGATGATGATGATGATGATGCTGATTCGTTGATGTTGATTGTGATCATCATCATCATCATCATCATCAACTCTATGCATATATCCTCATCATTCTGTAAGAAAGAAAAAAAAATCGAATACGATTGTGAATTGGATTTTTTTTTTCTTCTCTGTTTTGTTTTGCTCTATGTTTTTTCATCATCATCATTTATAAATATGATGATAAAAATATACGAAAGAGAATTGGGCACCAATTTTTTTTTACAAATCAAGCATTTTTCTAGAAATAAACTCCACCCAATGGAGTGACTTTTCTATTGGAAAATGCTACAAATATCACGTGTATCAATCACTTAGGTAAAACTATTCAATCCAATAGAATGGATCACGTTGTTAGGAAACGTGATCATTTCAGTTGAAATAGTTGATTGTATAAGGTGATTATAATGAATTTCTTCTATTCAATTCATTATATTTTGTTGTTGTTTTTTTGCAAACAAAATATAGTTTTTGCTGTGAAAAAAACTATGCAATATGGCAATGATAAATATAGTAGAAAAAAAATTGAAACAAGATTTTTTCTTTTTTTCTTTTTTTTTTTGGTTCGGTCGTCGTCGTCGTCAACATCTTCAATGTATAGCTTTGGCATACCAAATACACATTTGGTGGAAAAGAAAAATACTGCGAAAGGGGCCAGTATAGCTGCCGTCGTACACATATAGCGAACAACCAAAGCAAGCAAACTATATCCACACACACACATGGACAATTTGACGCGACTTTTTTTTTTTTTTGCTTGTTGATGTTGTTGTTTGTTATATTCACGAATGTGCGAAGGCGAGGGCCATTCATTCGTTCATCCGCTATAGCCATTCTTTGTCCCCCCTCTTAGAAAATTTCTTCTTTTTCAAAACCAAAAATGCATGGGGTCCATGCAAACATTTTGGGTTTGGAAAATGAAGAAACCCCATACACATTGATGACCGACCTCTTGATATATACCACACACACACACACCCGATTTCGATTCGAAAAAAACGAAGATGATGATGATGATGAAGAAAAAAATGTGAAACGAAAATCAACCAACCAAAAAGGAACACGAACATTTTTTTTCGAATGAAGAAAAATGGTTCGCCAAAAAGAGAAAACAAAAAAAAAAAAAAATTTATCCATCCGGGGGCATAGGACAAATCGATCAACACCAACCAAACAACAACCAGGTTGTTTTCTTTTTTGTTGTACTTTGGATATTGGTTAGAGTTTATAAGATAGGGTGGTTGTTTGGTTGTTGATGGGGAGTATGTTCAATAATGTATCGGGATCCCCACAAATAATCATACGATACTTTCATATTCTATGAAAGTTAGAATTGGAATTCGATTTCTTTTTTTTCTCATTTTTTTTCCTTCTTGGAACTATGAAAAAAAGATCTTATATTCTCATGGATAACAAATTTTTTTTTTCGCTGGCGTCATATGGCATGAAAAAAAAGTGAAATTGGTTTAAAGAATCTTTGTTTTTTTACTTATAGGCAAAAAAACAAAACAAAACAGAAATAACAACATCCAAACATAACTCATTAAAACAACAAACTTGTATTTCCGAAAATAAAAAAAAGCATCATCGTTGAAAAAAAAATTGAATTTCTTTCAACGACAATATATGATATTGATCAAAACTATGATAGATCGATTGTAGTTGAACAAATAGAAAAAAAAACAAAAGAAAACCATATTTACAAACTCAAAACAAATCGATTGTATCGATGGTTTTCGATGTTGTTTCCGTTCCAAGTAGCCATTACGCTAATTGCTAAGATTTGGGTACATTCTTATGGCTTTCATACAACATTCTTATTTGTTTAGAATCGCAAAAGTTTTCCTGTTCACATTCATTCCTGAACCACCGGAATATTGATCGATTTTTTTTGTCCTGTTGTTTGTGTGTTTTCCTGTGTGTATTTTCATTCGCATATTGAAATTGTTTCAAAAAAAAATTCATCTTAACATCAAATAGTTTAAGAAATTTTTCTGGTTTCTTCTAGTTTTTTTTTTGGTGGCGAAACCAGAAGTTGTTTCTTTCATCCGATGCAAAAAAAACCCAAAACAATAACGACAGACAAAAAGATTGAATTAAAAATAACAAAAGAATTTATGGAATTTTCATTGTATTCAACTATGTAGAGCATTTTTTTCCAGAAAAAAAATCTCAACTGAAGTGTAGGTGTTTCGATAATAATGGAAAACAATAATTTAAAGCCTGGGATAACGAAACTTTAAAGAACAAAATTCCAATCAAATGGAAAAGAAATTTTCATTTTTTCCCCCGAAATTGAATGAAATATCAACCCGAATAATGGTGGAGAAACTTTTTTTGGTTGAAAAAAAAGATTGTATTTCTTCAGGATTTTGTTTTCATTGTGTTTTTTGTTTCTTTTAGTGGAAAAAAACAACAAATCTGTTTGAACTAAATTCAATACCGACAACAAAATCTGATCAGGCTGATTGATTTTCATGTATTTTATTTCAAAAATAAATATTTTCAATCATCAAACATCAACAAAACATTTTGTTCTTGAATTTGTTTTTGTGTTTTGATTACAAAGGAAGGAAACCTTTTGTACACACACCAAAAAGTTTCAATTTCGTTTTTTTTTTGCATTTTATTTCCAAAGTTATTACACAATTAATCATCGATAATGATTTCGATATCGATTTAATTGTCCTTCTCGCTCTCTCACTTGCTTTCGATTTCGGATGACTAATATCATTCGATTGGATTTCAATCTTCATCATGTTTAGTTGTTGATTATGATTATGTTTAATAATAATGACTGATAATAATGATTGTTGTTGTTGTTGTTGTTATGTTATTATTTATTTAATAATATAATATGG